CAAAAAGCAGAAACTGCTGTAAGACATTTAGTGCGGCTCCTGTTCGGTGTTTTGTACTTTGCTGTTGGGGTGGCGGGTATGAAGAGTAGTGCTCAAGTGCATCTCCTTTAGGCTGTAGTTGCTTTTACATGAAGAGTTAGGAGAGAACTGCCAACAGAAATGGTATCCCATTGGGCAGTAGGTAAAAGGCTGTTGGCAGTGGCAGAAGAGCTGTGTTGCAATTGCTTGCCTTTTTTTTTTTGTGAAAGAAAAAAGAGTGCACAATGCAATGGTTGGCAGAGTTGGGATAATTAATGTTTTCTCAGTATGGCAGCCTCTAATTAGACAGAAGGAAAGGATTAACTCTGGAATGTTTCCTTTGCTTCTTTCTAGAAGATGCTGCTGATGGTTGTTTCTGGTTGCACAAACCTACTGCTAGTTCGTGAAAGCTGTTCTATAATGCTATAGAGTTGCTTTCTTTGAACCCCCATGAAGAATGCCCTATGGAAGATGCAACTTCCACACAAATGATCTCCATGGGGTCAGGTGTAGGTGGCAGCGCCCAAATTCTGAGCATTGCAGTCTGGGCCCCTCTGCTGGCAGCATTTGCTGACAGCTGCTGCCTGCTCAACCAACACATGCAGTCTGTTCAGCTCCCTCCTGATGCTGGCTTCTGCCATTCCTTATCAGCTCCAGCTCCTTGCTTAGAGCAGCATCAGCTACAGCTGGCTGACAGCGACTGTGTCCCATCAAGTGGTGGGTATATTCCAGGATGGAGACTCCACAATCTCTCTGGTGAATCTGAACCCTGTTTGTTCAGACAGAGCCTCCTGTGTGTCAGTTTATACCCACTGTCTCCTATCCTGTGACTGGGCACTGCTGATGGGAGCCTGGCTCTGTCCTCTCGGCACCCTCCCTGCAGATGATGAGCACCTCACAAAAATTCTCAGGTGGTTGAATACCTGGGTAAGATCCTGCCGAGCTGTCCCTTCTCCAGACTGAACAGTCCTAGCTCACTCACCCCCTGTACATCAGCAGCATTAGGGCTGTCTCTGTCCCATCCTGGGGAGCCCAGTGCTGCAGGGGTGGCCTCGTGGTGCTGAGCTGGGAGGAGGCATCACCTCCCTCAACCTGCTGGCAGTGTTTTGCCTGGGAGGCTGTTGGCCTGTTGTGCTGCCAGGGCACGCTGCTGGCTCATGGTCAACTTGTCTACCAGGTCTTTCCCTGGAGCTGTTCCAGCTGGCTTCCCAGCATGTCCTGGTGCAAGGGGCTGTTCCTCCCTTGGGACAGGACTTTGTGCTTCTCTTGATGAACTGCACATGGGTCCTGTTGGCCCATTTCTCCAGCCTGCCAAGGTCCCCCTGAATGGCAGCACAGTCCCCAGGGTATCTGATGCTTCTCCCAGCTTGGTGTCATGTGCAAACTTTGTCCTCTTTCCATCCCACTGGATTACATTTCTTTTGCTACTTGGAAGATGTACTTTTAATATCTCACCAAGTCACATTCCTAGTTTTCCCTAGAAAGGGGGAGGCTAGAAGCAGGTTCACATTTACATGTATTCCTCCAGAATAACTTAACCTTTTTCCTCTTTTCTTTACAAGCTTCTCCCCCAGTCTTTCCATTCCTGTCACTTGTGTTTTTATGGGCTCTGCTCTTGGCACAACGGGCAGCATGGAAATCTTTGTCAAGTAATCACCCTTTGACTCTGTAGGCTGTTCTGTACTTATCCAGTGTGCTTTATTATCCTGAAGTCAGAGTCTCTTAAACTTAAAATCTTATAAACACAATAGTTCGGGCAAAGAGCAAACTGTTAAGCTGTTAAGTTTCAGCATGTGGTGCTTGGGTGGTCTTGAGCTCCTTCCAGAGGCGATGGCTTTGCTCAGGCGAGCAGCAGCTGGCGGCTCTGCTCGGTGCTACTGCAGAGGGCTATGCCATGCAGTCGTTCCTAGTTTGCTTTGTGTCAGAGTCTTCTGAGGGGCCTGAGCAAGGCCAAGGGCTCATGGGCATCAGGTGGGAGCCTTCTGCTGAAAATACTGACTTCTAGGTTTGATTGTTGCTATTGTACAATGAGAAGCAACAAGTTAAAAAGCTCATGAAGAAACTTTATAGACAGTCAAGATATTGTCTGGGTCACAGAACAGAAAAAGAAGAGGTTTGTGATAGGTCATACTACACCCTCATCCGTTGTAGCTACTGTGCATCTGTCACATCTCTCAAGAGCTACAGGGGATACTGTGAAACAAGTATGTCATGGGGAAACAATTATTCTTATTGGTACATGCATGTAGACAGTGCCATTTAAACTTTTAAGTAATTCCTAAAACTAAGTAATTAAAGTATTAAAGTATTAAAATTGTTTTAGAGTAATTCCTAAAAGATGTTTTACTTTGCTTGGAAACAATTTCTAGTGGTTCTTTTTTTTGTGGGGATTTATTTTTTTTAATATGAAGTTCTATTTCACATTGCAAAAGGTCAAAAAATCCTCATCTGCTGTTGTCATCTGTTTTTTTTTGTGCTTCAATATACACTGATGTGACACAAGCAAGCATGTTAGCTTCTTGTAGCAACGCCACTATTTTGAAGAGAAACGAAAAGGACGCATGGATTTTGGGCTACGACTGGGAGAAATTCAGCCTGGTGCAACCCTGATTTTCCTTGAGTAGTCTGGAGAGTTCCCTCCGTGCCTGCAGTTCTCAGAAGCAGACAGGCTGCAAATCGTGGCAGGATTTTGGGGTGCCAGATGCAGGGAGCTGCTGATCTGCCTCTAACCCAACTTCTTTGCCAGTGCTTGGTTGTTCCTTGTCTAGTGGCAGAAGCTGCTGGGCCATGATATAAGCCCAACTGACACTGCTCCTCATTAGTTGTCACTTTGATAAGTCATTGATATTTTCTCGAGGAAAAATGAGAAGTAGTGGTTATCGTAGTATCTCAGGTTCAGTATTGGTCAGATGTGAAAACCTACTTGTGATATTTGAGGGTGTGGGGGTCTTTTTATTCATGTTTTGCAAGACAGTATGGTAATTTTTTATGTTGGGAAGGGTTAAGACCTCTGAAACATATCACTGACTTCCTCTAGTGCCTTCCTGGCAGCACTGGGGTTAGTGTATCTTGCAGCCTGGTTTTCTCCAGAGCCCTGACAGTGTGGTGGATCTATGGCTCTTGACTTATGTCATGTGCATTTTCACGTCATTCTAAATTTTAATAAATATTGCACACTCCACATTTAATGCTACAGTCTTACTGCAGATGTCTTGACTGGTTTTTCCTAGCACCTGCTTGGTCAAAGAGGCAGTCTTTCTGAACTTTGCTGTGTGCAAGTGAGCAAGCAACTTGTCATAAAAAGAGGAGAAGGAGCTTCACCCTTCAGTTGTTCCTGAGTACATCTCATCTAGGGTTATGTGCAATGAGTGGAGTAGGATTCCTGGCTGAGAAGGAACAACTAGCCTCTGAAGGGCTGCTTTGGTGTTGGATGGACTCCAGACTGTGACTTGCTGCCTCACTCCAGGTGCTTGTGCCCTCTCTGGCCACCCTGCCCAGGTGTCTTCCTGGCTCAGCCGTGCTCCTGGGATCCGTGTAGCCAGGCAGCTCCCAACACCCGGGAGCTCTGGTGCTCCAGTACCCGGCATGGGTGCATGCTAGTGCACGACAGGCTGCAGGGTGCAGGTGCTGGGAGAGCTGGTCTCCCCGCTCCCTCCCTGCCCTCGGGGGGGCCCGACAGCTAGGGAGGGGAACCAGGGTGAGACAGCAGGCTGAGCTGGGAAAGGCAACCCTCCGCAGGGAGGGGGGGAAGGAGGAGGAACTGGCAGCGGGTGCTGCTGAGAATTTGGTTCTTTTTTTCTCACACACCCCTAATACAAACAGATGCTTTCTGTTTCTGAAGTCCCTGAACACCCTTTGGCCTCTCTCCCCTTCTCAGCTCCCTTGATCTCCCCCTCTTTCAAGCACCAACCCATGGCCTTCTGTCTTGGAGGTTGTCCCCAGGTGCCACCACCCATTGAGTGGGGAACGAGGAGAATGTGTGGCTGGTGCCTGAGAGCTGGCTGCCTACCCAAAGAATAAGGTGCCCTCATAACCAGAGATATGTTGGCAGCTTTCATGTGATCTGGAACCTGTGCTTCTGGGAGTGAATCAGTGACATCACCTTAATGCTTGCCTGAGTTTCCTGGTTTCCCTTTTTAAGAGAAGATTGCAGAATCTTCTTTAAAGAGGAAAAAAAAAAAGTGAAACACTGCCAGAGTTTACCCAGACCAAGCATATGTAATGGGAAGGCAGATGTCTACAGTCCCTGTAATGCACAAATGGCAAGTAATTTTTTACTATACGAAAACTTAAATTGTGCTGCACTTTAAGTTCTTCATAACTCAGAATAACCTTTTCAATCTAAAATACTCCTTAAATGGCGTAGGTTTTTGCAAGCACCCTACATATTTCCCAGACTTTGAGACTAATCAGAGGTATAGTTTGCAAGTTGCTTATTTGGAGCTATGTGGTTTTTCCAGTGAACCTGACAAGTTTTAACATGATCTGGGTGAAGTATGAAGTAAGAGAACCTTTATTCTGTATAACATAATTAAGAGAATTCAAGTATGCTTTCTTTTACTGAACGAGGTGAAAAGGAATACAGCACAAGCCTTTTATACCAGATTTAGGTATTATAGTTAATGCATCTTATTTTATATAAGTGAAACTCTGTCACGAAGTAAGTTATTGAAAGTGTGAGCCCTCCTGCACTTTGATTAATACCTTAGAAGACATTATTTGTAGAATACCTTTTTTGGTTTTGCTGCTGGGAAAAAGATCACGAGTAACGCTTAATGAACAAATACAAGGTTAGTAAAGTTGTGCTATTTTGAGAACTTCTCACATTTCTAATTGATCTGGTACTCAGTTTATGGTTCCGAGCCTGTTTTTCAGCAACTGTATCTTAACCTCTTGTTTCTATTCACTCAAGTGTGATTAAGAGCAAGAAGATTCACAGAATAAGTTATCAAATGCTTTTAATATGGTCAAAGATCACTTACCTGTCACCATAGTCGCCCTCCGCTTGTGTCGGAGCTGCATCTCGAAAGTGCCTTAGACTTGTCCAACATGCATCTTGAAACTACAGTAGGCATGAGAAGGCTTCTTGCGATAAGGTCGTTAAATAAACCATATCTGGAAGTAAGCTTTTTTGCTTCTGATGGCTTTTTTTTGCGATACTTGATCAGAGAGTCAAAATTCCCCTGGCCAGGAGCAACTGGAGCAACTGGCTTTCTCATTCCTGGGAATGACTCACATGCCAAGGTAGGTGAGCAGCGCGCTCCCGCTCACTTCCTGGCTCCGGAGCAGCTCAGGCGCCCAGGACGCAGACAGTGATTCACCTGAGAGGTAGGTTAGTGCCTGTAAAAGGCAGCAGCCTTCATGCAGGGAGACGTTGCAAACTGTCTGAAGCGATGTTTTACAGCAATGTGTGCAACTGTGCTTGTGCCTTTTGGTTAATGCATTCTTGTCTGCAGGACGAATGTGAATTTAATGTCATGCTGAAAAATCTTGTGCTGGATAGATGCAAATATCTGCTAATCGAGATTATGTCAATTATTAATTTGACTATATTTAGACACCTTTAATGTTGTGCTTTGAATAGATCCTCTTTTAAATAGCATGTAGGATGAAAGCAAAGTGTTAAGTCTGTAACTAAACATTTCAGCTAAAATTACTGTCTGTTTAATTCATGCTTTTTATTGACATAGTGTTCTTTAAGACTCTTTGAGTTCACTGACTCTGGCAGTCATCCTGTCAGTGGTCCTGGGTGTACACACATTTAGAGTATGATAATTCACTGTCTAAAGAGCATTGAAATAATCATGGCAGTAGTTACATCAGGACATAATTTTGCTTTGTGTCAGTAGAGGAATGAGTGGTTAATTTCCCATTTCTGCCACCTTCTTAAAAAGAAAACAAATATATGTATCTCCCTCATTAGGTCTTCAGGAGAAAAGAAAAACAATCATAATGCTACAAGAGCAATGGCTGCCAAGTCACTTTTCTCAGACTGCTCTGTTCTGCCTGGACTTTCTTCATACATGTTTTGTTCTTTTTTATCAAAGATCAGAGGAGCTGGGTTCCCAGCCACTCTCTTCTGCGACTGGACAGCCTTCTGCATCGGTGTCTTGACAGCCACGCGGAGCCCTGTGAGGAGTGGGAGCAGGAGCTGGACCTACCAGCTGCCTCTCTGTAGTGGTGAACAGCTTCCCCTGGCTCTGTGTCCAGGGAAGCTCTCTACTAATTTCCACGTTTCAGGTAGTGGGCAGACTGTAAAATTCCTACTTGCCTCAGGACCTCTGCCTTGAAGCAGGTACAGTCCCTGATCATAGGAGACTTCTGACATGGCTCATCTTTGAAGATCAGCTTTTGCAAGGCAAAACATAATGTAAATGGAGGCAGCAGGAACACATGTTATATGTCTCTCTTATGTTTTCAACTTTATTACTAGAAGCTGCCAAACTGATCTCAGGAGCTGCATGTTCTGACATTAAGAGAGGATCCCTGTTGCACATGTGCTGGAGTACACACGTTGCATCACTTGAGAATGGAGAAGGATGGAGAAGGCTTTTTCTGCAGTAAGGGAGAGGAGGCTTGACGAAGTCTCTGCCTCTCTTAGACCTTGCACATTGCTATGTAAACCAATGTGTGCCAGCCACCATTTCACCCTCTTTCAGCTGTCCCTTGTGTTCCAGTGTTTAGCATCTGTTTGTGCTTTGTTCCCAACTTCTTGTCCTGTTTCTAGACCAGTGGTATCTTCTGTTCTTCCTTCCAGTCGTTGGTTCACCTCCTCTGTGGCTTTCAGTTATTTGCCACCTTAACGTTGCTTGTGGTGGTCCAGTTCTCTGTTCTAGGTGGAGCCTGTGTAGGACAGGAGTACATGCCTGACTGATGATCTGTAGGCTGCTTCTTTCTGGGGAAACATTGCTGAAGTTGCAGCAGAAAACATACTCTCTCTTCCATTGAGGTCTTGTAATAGGTGGTCCTCCTTTGGGATATTTGGACAGCCTCACATTCCAGTGTCAGAGGTCCTTAGCAGAGCAGAGACTTCACAGCTTGGGCACTGAACAAAACATTTGTGCTGTGTTGGTCTTGCTTCTAGCATTTCTGTGCAGACTGTCTGGCAGCATGGCCCCCAGGTGGGGGCCCATCAGATGAGCTCCTGCCACTGTTCTGAGGAACAGCAGACCCCTGGATGCCAGGGCTGGAAGCAGATTTGCAGATTGATCATGAACAGTATTTTAACACTTAAATCTGAAAATTACACGTTTGGCTTGTGTTTTGCACAAGATCATGTGCTCCCAGGCTGGGTACTGTATTGGCATTGGGTACAGTTCCAACCCTGGGGTGGTGCTGGCAGACGTGGCTGCTCCTCTGGTCTCAGTCCCATGGACTTCACTCAAGACACAGCATGACAGTTGATTTGCACTCTTGTTATTCAGGCACTTCTAATGCTGGTGTTGTCTTAGGCTGGGGTGAAGGAAACAGTGCTGCAGGACGTGGTGTGGCAAGAAGTGAAGAAATTGAAAATGGAAATGTTTAATAATATAACTTAATTTCCTGCAGGGACCCATGTGTTTAATAGTTGGTACTCTGTGAATGGAGTATACACACCAAAGTCCGTGTATTAACAGTGAGTGGTCAATTAATAAGTAGATTCATAGAATCTACATGAGAATGGATTTGTTTGTTTTTTGAATGTGACGCAACGGTACATTAATTTTTTTAAGTCTCTATATTTTGGTGTATCAGTAAAACTTAATGAGTTAGAAGCCACTGTGTTAGCATCCCCTAGCAGGCTTTTAAGTAAGATATGTTGTTTGGCTATTCTCCGGCTAGAGCATGTCAGGACTAGCTGACACATGAAAAGGAAATGCTGTGGAGCTTGTCGTTAAAAACAGCGCAAAAGGCATGTGAAGCTCTGATGTAAAGAAAAGCTGAAAGCTAGCCTATAACTTTACTATTGTTCACATTATTTAAAAGTTAGATGTCCTTTTTTGTGTTCTGGTGATTAGAGAGCAATTCTCAGATTTCGTAAGAGCCTGAGCAATGTTATTACAAAAATTATGATGTTGCTTCATTCTAAAACTACTTTACTATCATGTTTAGCAATATGAACTACAGGGTTATTTTTAAAGCAGATTAACCACCTGGATAATGTATGAGACTGACATTTTCTTAAGCATAGAAAAGTGGTAGCAGGATCAGGGCTTGCAACACTGGGAGGATTCCTCCAGCGTTCTACCTGCAGATGTTCAAGATGGAGGTTCTTTTGTTAATGGAAGTGTCTTGGAAGGGTTTGACCCTTCCCCTTTCCTTAGGTGGTTTACTTCAATCACTGTTTTGATGGCTTTCACTGAAAGGGACTAATTAAGAGCTGACTTTAAGCAACTCATTTCATTGTTCCTCACCCGACGTTGACAAGCAACCTAGAGTTACACACCTTGGCTGGGTGATCCTCTCTATAGACTTAGGCCTGTTCTAGTGCCTTTAGTTTTCATATGTGACCTGCTGGATTTGTGTGTTTGTGTGTCATCATATGGGTAATACCTTGGTTGCTCAACTTGGTTTCCCAGCTCGTGTTCATGATGCAAATTGTTATTTTGCATTTCTAATTAATTGAAGTACTGCTGTATGTTATGAGAGTTTTCTCAGTACTCAGAGTTGAAGGAACCGTGATGGAGGGATGTGTGTTGCTATGCCAGAGAGTCGGGACATGTATGAAGTGCAGAATTTGTCTTTAGGCATTCAGGAATTAACTTCCTGTGCCTCTGAGAAGAGGCAGTCTAATACAGAATCTGAAAGGCTAGATAATTTGTGTATTAGGCAAAGGTATAATATGTTTCTTTTTCTAGGTATAATATATTTCCTTATTCTGAAACACAAGAAAGTAAAAAAATACAAAATAATATATGAAAGCCTCTGTGTACCCAAATAAGATTGAGTTCCTACAAAACTTGAGTGCCTAGTACCCTGTAGTTCCCCCTTTGGAAACCCAACAACCTGGAAAACTGTTTCGAAAAAGTGTCAATAGTTTCTGTGTGAATCGTGGACCTTAGGTGCTTGGAATAAGATTAATTTGTCTGAACAAGCTTAAGGCCTGGTGCCAGTTTTCCAGTTTCTAGGTTGTCTGCTGCTTCTATGTGGAGTGTAGGCAAGCCAAAAAAGTGAACAGTTGGCTGCGGAAAGGAAAAGCCCAGCTGCTGCCTTGTGATGATGGACTGGAATGATTACGCACAAGGTGGGAATGTTGTATGCATTTTCTCTGTCTTGCACAAGCGCTAAATCTAGGAAAAAAGCAAAGGATCTAAAAACTTGCAGAAAAAAGTGAAAATCCCAAATGTTAGAATTTGGAGGACTTTTTTTTTTTTTTTTCCCCTCTAGGTGGAAGAACCAGACATCCTATCCTTTCACTCACCTTGCATTTCTCTGCTGCAGTTTGGTAACTCTGCCTCCCTTTTACCTACCGAAGAAGCAGCAGCTGAAAAACAGATGATTAAGACTCCTCTGGAAGCCTTGGCACACCCCTTATTTAAGGAGCAACTCAGCCCATTTTGTGGTTACACCCATCCTTACATGCAGGCTCTTAGTTCTTCACTGTGTGTACTGCCAGCGTGTGTTGTGCACAGCGTAAAGTGAGCCTGGTGTTAAAAAACGTAGAAATGAGAAAATGAAACTTCCACAGTAGAATAAATTTTCTGTTCTTCAGCATTTTCATAGTTAATCACTGCCATATTGCCCATCTTATGTTACTGTCTCTCTCTGTAATAACCACAAAAATGGGCCAGGGTTCCACTTCCAGATCCGGAGTTTGATGTTAGTCTGTGCTGAGAGTCCTTGAGACCTCTGTATTAGCTGCGCTGGTGTGATTCATTTGGAAGAGGTAAGACGGAGCTGCAAAGTTTCATGCTGAATTCTTCCCTATATACACCCAAAGCTCAGGAACACAGATTTCCATGGCCACCTCCCTGGTAAAAGATCGCTGCTTGTTTTCAATCTGTTTTCTCCTGATGTTTAGCTCTGGTCACTACGTTAATTGCTGTGCTTGTAAATAGGCTTGGAGAAACATTTTCAGACTATGCCTATGTTTCTTTAAGCAGTTGCTAAAGTGGTGACTATTTTAGCAGCTAAGAATTTTATATATTTATTTTTACTAATGTAGATAAGTTAATCCTGTTAAACGCTATGGGGGGGGGGGGGGGCAGAGAGGAATTAATTCCTGAATAGCATTTAATCCTGAAAGGTAAGACGCTCTTTGATATAATGTTGGTTTTATAGGGAAGTTTGAACCAGCTGGAAGCTGACTGGGGATTAGTTCAGTTTCCAGTTGTAAAAGGGTGTTACAGTCGTGGCAAGTATGTAACATGCTACTGGAGAAGATGTAGTGAATAGAAATTACTAAATGAGACATACATCTACCTGTGTGGCAGAGGTTGGGGAATCCCAAAGGCAGATGTAATTACTGCACAGTAATCTAAAAACAGCTGATGAAAAATTGGGCTCCATGGAGCAACCTGTGTGATTGTGCTAGGCTGCTGTAAATATTTAATGTCTAAAAAATAGAAATCGACTGGTGATCAAAGCATCTAGCACATGTGAGAAGGCACAAAGCTAGCACAGTATCTTGAGAAGGGGTGGAGTTTGTTAGCAGGGACATGAGTGTTTCCTCAGTGGCATGCTGGGGACTCCCAAACCTCAGTTCCAGTGTGTCACAGAGCAGTGGGATGTGAGTGTCAGGGGAGGGGCAGAAGGGATGACAGACACTACAGCCAGCAGTATGAGTGATGGAAGAAATCAAGTTGTGGTGTTCTTCCTGAAGCCCGTTCTTCAATGCTGTGTCACCTGGGCAGCACGTGAGGCAGAGGCAGTAGGTATGTCAGGGGACAGGTAGCAATGGTGGCACACTGTGAGAAGCAAGAAAGCATTATTTGGGATAAGGTAAATTTAACAGTGTTTTTAATGTACTTTGTAGAGTTGGAGTCAATAAATGGTTGATATTGCTTTCATGTCTTAAAGTAGTGAAAAAAATTCCAGGATTTTGGTTTAGAAAGCAGCTTCTTGATGGAGCACAGCCCATTTGGACTTTCCCTGTGAAAGAGCTAAGGGAGAGTGGTGTGGTGAGCCAGGTGGAGAGGGATTCTTTGGATGGGGAGGGTTAGGCAGTGCTGCTTGCTTCCTTCTCTTTGCCTGTCTTTGGGACTGGAAAGGGTGAACATGCCACCACAAAGGACATTTCTGGGTGCTCCCCTCTGGTGAGTAGGGTAGGGATGAATGCTGCGGTGCTGGGAAGCAGCCCTGGGTCTTGTGGTCCCCACCCTGGGGTAACTGGGGTATTGCTGACCGCATTCTCCACTGAAGTCCTTGCTGGCAGTGGAGGGGAAGGATGGTGAAACAGTGGAGGTGTTAGGAAAGTAATTACGCGTGTTAAAGAAGTGGGGAGGTAGAGGAGGGACTGTGCCCTTCTTCCCTCCGTTCTTCCTCTTCCCTGGCCTGTGACATGCCAGCTGAGCTGACACCCAGTGTAAGAATTACTGACATACAAAGCCAATAGCTCTGGGTTTGAATTTCAAATAAAGCTAAATTGTCCCTAGAAGCAGCCATAGTCAGTAAGCAGCTTAACTGTTAACGAGTAAGGGTTTTTTTTGTTTAAAGCAGATAGAATTATTCTGTAGATTGTGTCTTAAGTTATACGAAGGTACTTTAATTCATAGGCTACTGTTTGTCTGTATTCTATGTGGTGGGCATGATTTAGGGACCAAATCAGAAAAACTTCTGTTCTTGTTCACTTTGCAGGGCCAGCAGAGCCGTGCAAAGCTACAGGGTGATCATTGTTAGTGTTATGCATTATTGATGCTGTGGTGATGGCTGTGAAGACACATGAGTGACTTTGGGTAATACAGACTTCTGTGGTGGGAAAGCAGCAGTGCTGTTGCTGCTGGGCAAGCAGAGCCAAGATGCACTGTGCTTCCACAGCTTTGGTTCCTGATGATGGTGTCAGGGAAAGAGGCCAGCCTGGGAGAAGATTGCTGTCAGATCAGGGCCAGCACTTTGAGTGACAAATTTTTGCCTATTAAGGCTAAGCAGCGAGCATCAATAGGGAAATCCATTTAGCTGTTTTTATTAAGTATTAATATTACAGTACAACTGCTCTTTTATTTACTACAGCAGAAGTAAACCAAATTATTTATTTAAGTCTAAATGAATATGCAGAGGCTGTAGCAAGTGAAGCTGTAGAATCAAGATTCAGTAGGAGACATTTGTGTGTCCAGTTCAGTTTTAGGGTTTGTATGAACTGTTTTCTGAAATGTCTTTACTCTCCTGCATAACACCTTTTCTACAAATGGTTTGCACAAGCACACATATATCAAGGGGTCCATGCAGATGTTTGTGGCAGCCAGCCACAGAGTGCTTTCTTTTGCCACAAAGAGCTGATTCTGCATATGGCAGTTTATTTGGGTTGTTGTTTGACTCAGAGTATAGGGGACCCTGCTGAAATGAAAAGGGGCAAAGCATAAGAAAAACACAGTAAAAATGATGAATACTTTTCCTTTGACCTTCCGTTCACTTTTGTTGGTTTTCTTCTGTGTTTTCATATAAGACTCGTAGACCTTTTTGGCAATAATTATATAAAATAGAAGCATAAGGATGAGAACAGACCAGAAGACGAATTGACATATATAATTGACAGCTTCATGCCATTTGAGCCCAAAGTAATTCTTCAACAAGGCACACTTCTTCACAGATTGGGGTGTTGCTTTCTTGTTTGAAAAGATCATGTTAGGCAGAGAGAGAACAAAGAAGAAGAGCCAGACCAGACTCGCGAGGATCTTTGCTGAGGTCAGGTTTTGCACCCAGAACTTCCCAAAAGGTCGCACAATCTTGAGAAATCTATCAAAAGCAATGAGACCCAGTAGCACAATGCTGATATACATGGTGTCATAAAACACTACAGCTGAGAAGCGGCAGACAAAGGCTTTGAGTTGCCATGGTGCCAGGCCAGAGTCCGTCAGGATTTTCAGAGGAAGCATCAGGGTCATTATCAAATCAGAAACTAAGATATTTTTCAGGTAGACAATGAAAGTTGATGTGCTTGGAATGTGGCAGAAAGCACCCAAAGCCAGGCTGTTTAGTACGAGTCCCAGCAGGAAGATGAGTGTATACAGTGCTGGGAAGACCAGGTGTGTGACTGTGGTGTCTCGGTGGCACAGTGCAGAGGATGGTGCTCCACTGAAGTTGCTGACAATGCTCTCATTTGGAAAGTCTTCCATGATTGGAAATAGACTAGGGTGAAAAGGAGAGAGAAACCATAAACCATAATATTCTGTTTTTAAAGTTAAGTGTTCCTTACAGTGACTCGCGTATTTAAACAAACACAAAACCTGGACATGCATTAAATAGACTGAGCAATTTCTCTTCTAGTTCATAGAATCTAAATCCTTGCCTAAGTTTAAGTTGCTACAAACTGTTGTCTAGCGAAAAGTTAGAATGGTATATATTCATTATGGAAAACTAAGATAATACAATAGAAAAGAATAATAGCAGATTGCCTAGGGCAAGCCCCATTTGTCTTTACATGGTAATGTATTTTAACATTGAACAAAAATTTCACAGTTATGGCCCAGAAGTAATACACTTCTGGTTATTTCTTACCAAGCATGCACCATTTTTCCCTTCTCAGCAGAGATTTAAATGACATTTTCAAGGTAAGGTGCACACTGCTGCTTATCAGCCTTTTTCATCTGAAAGCCCGATCACCGAGTGCCCCATCGTGCCACATGAATGTTCTGATCATACAAATACCTGAGCAAGCCTGGCAGCAGCTGTTTCAGAGAGGCGTTTTTGGCTATCTCTGGTTCATCCACTGTTCCTCTGCTGACAGGAGCCTCAAGCAAAGTATTAAGAATGAGGAAATGTGTAGAAAGATGAGAATTTTTCTGTTGGTGTAGCATGTTGTTTCCTTCCTCATTTCCATGTATTGCCCGAGCGCTGTTGCTTTTCTCTCTTCCTTTTGCTCTTTGTCAGAAAGTCACTGCCTTCTCCTGTGTTAAAAAAATAAAAAAAAAAAACCCAACAAACCAAACCAAAACCCCCCAGCCATATCCATCCAGACAGGCACATTTTCTGGTCTTTTGTTTGTGTCTGGCAGACCTGATGGCACCTACACTGTGCTGTCACAATTTGTCTGTCTTACAGATGTGGGATGCACAAACACAGCGTTTCCTGACAGTTTTCCAGGATAATCCTCAAAAATAGCTCTGAGTTTTTGTTTGCATGTGTGAATTCCCCTGTTCTGGACACACAGATGCATGACTAGGAAGGCTGCTCTGAGCCACCCTTTTACTGGGTTATACACCTTTACACTGGTCTCATCTACAAAGTCATGTGCACATGTTCAGGAACTGTATGCTCTCTCAGTAGCCTGTTAATATTGACATATGAGTCTAAGGTTGGCTTTTGATCTTTTGAATGGGATTTCTGGTTTCTTTTGGCATCAGTGTGTCCAGGTGATGCAGCATGCTGGTTACGGATGCTTTCTGGTTCTGGCAGAGGCTGCTGCCACTGCTTGTATTTATGATGTGTTTGTTATGTATAATGTTAGAATCTAGTGGATTGCTCTGTAAACAGAACCTTTTGTTTAAGTTTAACTGGGTCATGTGATTTGTCTTGTATTTTTCCTGTTGACTGACGCGACTTAGGGTTCTGGCTCCTCGCCGCTGGGCGAGGGAATGGCTCACATCCAAGCCGTCCTTGTGGGCAGGTATTTTTTGCTTTTGAGGTTCTCAAGCTGCAGCTGTATTGGCAGCAAGTTGGTGCATTAATAGCTACGTTTTGATTGACATAGGTCTGCATGCTGATGTCAGTGTTAAATGGCTGGCAGAGAGCAAAGAACCTTGAGGATGACCAGCATGAAGGTCACCTTCACTACTGTCACCAGTGGTGTCCCTAACTGCCTGACCTGACTTTCTGTCATTCACCAAGGACGAGATAAAGCTGAGATGGGCCATTGTAATACCCCAGGACCGATGTACACAGCAGCACCTTGCATGTTTTCTTCTAAACTGACCTCCACACACTGTTCCCAGCAGTAAGAGGCAGGTGCTGAGTGCCTCCATGTATCCTGTCAGTGAAGGGGTGCACAGGGAGCTGTGCTATACCTGTTGTCTGACAGCAGGTCTGACCAGGAAATGCAGCTGCCACCCTTTCTCCCTCTGTAAGCAAAAAACAACAACAAAAAAAAAGGTTGGAAATTAGTGTTGGGTTGAAGTGCAGCATCTTGCACTAATTTTCTGTGCACCAGCTGGTTGGTCCTGGGCCCCATGGGGCTGGTTGCAGAGAGAGCACACTTCAGTCACCCGCAGCAGTGGTTCTATGGAAGTACCAGTGCCCTCCCGGTTACTGATTGTAGTACGTGTTGGTGTGTCTGTCAATATAAGCAGTGCATGAAATGCTTTGCAAAATTTATTTAAATTTTGTAAAATTTTATTTAATTCACCCAGGCAGGTTATAAACTAAGTAAGTTGCTAAAGTAAGTGAACTGTCTTTTAACCTTTTAGGGAATTATTTATCAGTCATAAAAATACCCAATGCCCTGCCAGGCACAGGAAGTGCCAGAGAAGGGTAGACAAGCAATGACTTTTGGCAGAATTGAGCTCTTGCCTGATGGTGAAATACTTTTCTGAATTGGAGCTGTTTTGCAGGGATGATAAACATACCATAATTGATTATGGTAGCCTAGGATCTTTTTCATGTGTGGTGGTTTTGATACCTGAAAATGTTATGTACCTGAAAATATTTCCCTGTTTTTTTTCAGTTTTTTCCTAAATGAAAAAGGGGACATTGTTAAAACTTTTGTATAGTGCAAAAAACCTGCCCTTAATAATTCAGCAAGCATTTTACCCTGAGCCTGTCTTTCCCTATGATCTAAGTATTCTGTAAATTGAATCTTTGTGTGTTTTCTAATATAATATAGTGTTCTCCATAAAAGTGTACATTTTTATTTATTTATTTAGTTGAAGTATATGAAGATTTAACTCGCATCAAGATAAGCCTGATTATGAAATAATATCCTGTGATATACAACTGTTAATTACTAGTCACTTAATTAAGAATTGTAAGAATATAATGAGATAAGCAAAATGTTACTCTGTTACCCCAAATCTGCACAGATTATTAATTTATATACCTATGTTGTATATTTCTGTTTGCCAGTTGCGTACAAGGTGACAAGTCCCTATATTTAAGAATCACATTTACTGTGTATTTTATTTGTGTTTCCCAGATCTTGTGCTGTCATGGACAACTCTTTCTACAAAATCTTTGCAGTTTGTAATCTCATCTATAACATTTCATGACTCTGTTTTAATTTTTTTCCTTACAGCTCCAACTATCAGTTCAGACTTCCTCCCAGCAATTCTTACAAACATGGAAGTTGTGACTGGGTGGTTGAAGTTTTCTAGTCTCACAGTTTTTTCAACAAGGGATGTTGGTTCCAGGGTGTTGGTGCTTCATTTGCAGGACAGTTTCTAAAGAAGTCAATGAAATTCTAGATACTCTTTGCTGGAGTAGTTCTGCGTCTACCTACCAGTAAACATACGTGGCCAAGAAGGAGCGTGGTAGCTCTAGAGTGGTGTTTCATCTGTGTCATCTCCTTCGTTCTGCTCTTTCGTCTGTGCTCTATGTTCTGACGATGCTGTGTGCTTGCACAGCATGTTGAGCAAAGACTTTCTAAATGATTTGCAAAGGAAAAAGTATATGAATGGGTCTAGGCAAGCATTTAGTGATGTCAGCCATAGCGTGCTCTCTTTCAAGTAAAACAAGGTGTTCTGAGCAGAGCATTCAAAAACATCTCTTGTTTGGCTCAAGGTGTAGGGGATTCGAGTAAAGTGAAATGGCACAAAGCAAATAAAGAACACTGTGATAATGATGAAAACTTTCAGATTTACAGTCTTTTTGGATGCCTTTCCTGTGGATCTTGTTCTTTTGTAGGATTTGTACAGTTCTTTACTTATGAGTATGTAGCATACAACTATAACTGCTAAATTAATCCAGAAGATAAGTTGACAGATGTAGTTTACGATTTCATGCCAGACTAAGCCAAACTCTGATTTCAAGAGAGCACACTTTTTTACGTTCTTAGGTGTTTGCTTCTTGTTTGTTAGAATCATGTTGGGTAATGAAAGAGCAAACATTGATATCCATATTGCTGTGGAAAGGATCTTTGCCCCCAAGAGGCTCCTTGGTGTTGACGTTCTGAATGGTGAAGCAGCTTTCTGGTAGCGATCAATAGTTATCAGACCAAGAAACGAAATGCTAATGTACATAGTAAAGTAAAATACAACCTGGGTGACCTGGCACACAAATCCTCTCAGTACCCATGATACCAACTTTGCATCGCTAAGAATTTTAAATGGAAAAGTCAAGATCATAAGGAAGTCAGAAATGACAGTGTTCTTGAGGAAGATGATGAAATTGGATTTACTGGATATTTTAAAAAAGACCCACATTGCCAGGCCATTCATTGTGATACCCACCAGGAACAGAACTGTATAAAGCAAAGGAAAAATGACTTGACTGATTTTGTTATCGCTGGTGCAGTTGCTGTTGTTTCTAGGGTAGCTGAAGTTGGTTATGACTTTCATTTGCACTTCGTCTTTCCACCCTTTCCTGTAAAAACAAAAAAGAAAATTGATTTTTGAGTTACAGCTGTCATAAGACTTTAACCCTTTTTAGTCTAGTGTTAATTTTTGTGTTGTGAATGTTTTGTGGGGATTTTGGCTGCTGTAATTGTGTTTTATTCTACTGAGCATGTCAGGTTTCTACAGGGGCACTAGACGTAGCTATGTTTGTAAGGTGATCTGGTTTGATCTTCTGTGACTGAAATGCTAAGGTGACCTTCCATCCTGATCTCCTGAGCTTCCATCCTGACTTCGTGAGCTTCCCACACAGCTTTCCTGAGACTTGCCTGCAGGGGTGGGCAAGGGCCTGGCATGGTGGTGCAGCCAGCATCATGCCTCCTGTCCCATGGTGTGTGTGGGTGATGGCACAGCTCTTGCTGGGTGCTGTCCAGACCTGGGGACCCTGCCATGGATGTCCTTGTTCCCATGGCCCTGGTGCTGGCATTACAGCTGGGGAGGAGCTGGTGAGGGCCATGGTATGTGGGTCTGTGTGGTGCAGACACACTGCAGTGCGCACTTCTGGTGGCAAGGCCATGGTACTGCACACGGGATGTCTAGGCTGCAGTTTCAGTTGTATGACACCCATCATCCAGACTGCCCATCTACTCCCAGGGAGAAATACCCCTTCCCTCATCTTCCTCAGTGTGGAAAAGGGAAGCATTTAAACTCATTTTGACTGCATATTTAGCAGTGCTGGGCTGAAGTAAAAGGAATTGAATACCTCTTTTGTTTTGTTTCTGTATGGCTGGACTCTTTCTCCTGGTGGTGTTATTTCAGCCTTTCTTTCAGTTGTCTTTGAAGTGAATCTCTGCTTTCCCCTTCCTGCCCCTGCTCAGACCCTGGGAATAGCTGCTTGTGGGCTGCTGCCATTTCACCTGGGTGCTCAAAGGATGGATGTGGCATCCCATAGGGTCACTTTTTGTTGCTTTAGAAGGAAAGAGGACTACCTGCTCTTCAGCCATACATATTGGCACTTGGACAGCTAATGGTATCTGTTACTTCAGGGAGTACGCTTTCGCCAGCAAAATCTGAAGTTATTTGTAGCTCTGTTTATGTGGGTATTCATGTATACCATTACTTCTAGTTTGTCAGTTTATCCTGTCCTTTTCCTAAATCACTTGCTTTACCTGTACTGTATTGCAAGTGAGTTTAAAACTTCACTGTCTTGAGCCACCATGCAGGAGTTGCAGCATCCCATGCTCTGCAGTGAGCATCTGTGTGAAGCTGCCACTGAGTCTCTGTATAGTGATGTGCCCCTCCAAGCCCACCCTTACTGCGAACCTGAGTACATCGGCTGGCCTGTCGCACACAGCCACTTTGTGCTGGACGTCTGCAGCACTGGTGCCAGTGGCTGGGCTGAAAACTGGTGCTCTTAGTCCAAAAAACTTGGTCAGATCAGGTCTGATCCAAACTGGATGCGTGGGAAAGCCAGGCAGGGATGTTGAATCGGTAAAGGCTGTGTTTCAAAAGGAGCAGCTTTCAAATGTGTAGGTGCACATAAAATTGCTCTATTTCTGTTTATCTCTGCCTTTGTAAAAATAAGGCACTCCGGGAAGCTGATGCTTTCTCAGGTGATGCCAGACATCCCTGACATAATCCTTACAGAGCTGCAAAGTTTTATTTCCGTCTATAAGATTAAAATAAATTGGTTTATGCTTTGAAGCTGGTAATAGATTCAGCTGCCAAGTCTAATCCTAATAAAATGACTATTCCCTTCGCATGCAAAATCAGACACCTGCCCCCCACCCCAAAATAAAGGAGAAGGAAGGTTACCGTAGTGTGTTGTGGAGGAGCGATGAAACACTTGGGTGTTTCCGTGATGGGAAGCTAGTGCTGTTGGCAGAGTTGTTCACAGTTCCTCTAGCTCTTCTCCCTGTGAGCAGGCAGGAGTGTTCATGTGTCCACCCCTCGGAGCAAGGGGCAGCTGGAAGAGCCACTGTGCATCCCAGCTCTGAGACTTAGACCTTCCTCTGGCTGTGAACTGACTTCTTAGCCAGAGACAGCTGTAAAGTCCGGGTGACGCTTTTGATGCTTCGGCTTCTGTTCCCTCTAGAAGAGAGGGAAAAACAGAATTTTAAAAAAGAGCTAGCTGTTGACTTCCTGCTTTTGGCCTGCTAATGGAGTCACTATTTTTAAGAGAGCCTGTATTTTGTAGGACTCTGCAACTTTTCTGAGCGTAGAGTTGCACTCCCGTCTGCTCTGGTTTTTGCTTTGTGGTTCTTTAGTATTATTTCTGTACACAGCTTTATTTCTTAGAAAAAATGTAAGTAGTTGAAAGGAGTATTGATTGCTTAGTTTGGATAACTAAATAATTGTATCTTGGATGACTTGCAGAGCAGTGCTCCAAGTCTGTAAGTTATATGCAGTGTGTCAACATTATATGACACATCTTATTAAAAGACTAAATATAACTAGTTCCAATTTAAATAAACCATACACATTCTTATTTGTTTGGGATGTGCAAACCAGAATTTAAGGAGTTGGGCTGCAGCCTTTTTCAAGAGAAATGTCACACGATTTCTAGGCATCTGTCTTCTGTTTACTAATCCACTACTGAATATCATTCCAGGAACAGATAAGAGAGTCACCATATGCATCCTCTCACTCTGTCCTTAGAGGTGCAAACATAATTCATAATATCAAATTACGTTTTTTCCCCTGTGTTTTTTCGCCTATTCTTTAGTTATTTCACTAGGCAGTGTTTCATCCACACTGGTAACCACGGGAGATGATTTTTTTGCCAAATAGTTGATTATTGTTTATCACAGCCTGAGCTGCTCCGGTTGGATTTCTACAGGAGGTGACAATAAAAAGAAAAGAGATGATTCTGTGTCACTTGTATCTGGTCTTTTCAGGATGAATCTTCAAGTCATGAGTGTAACCAGCGAATGATTCTCCTTTATGGCGTTGGGAAGGAGCGTGATGAAGCAAGGCATCAGCTGAAGAAGATTACCAAAGACATCCTCAAAATTCTGAATAAGAAGAGTACTACTGAAATGGGTGGTAAATGCTTTAATGCTGCTGTGTGGTAGCCTGTAGTGAAGATCGTGGGAGCTGTAAGGTGCTCAGCAAGTTGCCTGAAGCCATGCATGCTGCTCATGTAACTTGGCTTTCATCCCCTTCACAGTGACGGGTTGCAGTACTGACCCAAGTCCTGTAGCACAAGGTGCATTCTGGTGGCCCTTACGTATGGCTGCACCAGGACAGCGAAGGGTTGATGTGGCAAGAAATCCTTATTTTTCATTATAGCAACTTGGCTGTAAATGCTTGTGTTAAGCTGAGGCCTGAAACAGGAGATCCTGGCCAGTGAAGGAATGCATATTCCTTACCCTCCTGGTAAAACTATGTGACTGTTTTTCAGTTTTTCTTGGGTGTTGCCTTTTTTTTGCATTGGAATAACCTCAAAGTAGCTTTGATGTTGTTACATGCTGTGGCCCATATCTGTCCCAAATATAACGGAAAACTGGGGCAAGGAAGAGTTTATGTATTCCTGAGTAATGCTTAGGAAGATTTTTATTGTCTTTTAAATGAGTGATAATGCAAAAAAGCTACTAGGGATCCATTAAATATAAAATGACCAAAATAACTTTGTGTCTGTTAAGTTGGGGATGAAGGGCAGAAAGCCAGGAAGACCAAACAAGAAGCATTTCCAACCCTAGAGACTGTGTTCACAAAACTACAGCAGCTGTCCTATTTTGATCAACATCAGGTGACATCTCAGGTACTGCCTATATAAAATCGTAGCCTTTTACATTCTGCTGTAGAGATATCAAATAGGAGGCAAATATAGGCTTTTAGAAGTGTTTTGTACATACCAAGAATTTTCAGTGCACTGCTTCTTCAAAGACAAGAAGAATGCTGCCTTGGCATTCTGAAATCCCTTCTTCAGTAGATATTTGGGTTTTTGGTTTGTCTATTGGCAAGGGGGTGGCTGGTTGGTTTGTTTGTAAGAAGCTTTCTGGATTATTATGGATTTTATGATTTTTTTAATGAAAAATTTGTGACAAATTTTGCATAAATTTCCATTAATAGCAAGGCATAGAGACTGCTGCTAAATTAGATACTCATTACCCAATCTCTTGCATGTGTGCAAGGTTACGTTACTTGTATAGGTGTTCATGAAGGGCAGCAAACTCTTCTGTGTTTTTGTGCAACAAATTATGTCTGTTAGAGGAGCTGGTGGGTAATATGGTTTGTTCTTTTCTGGATATTAGACATATTTGTTAGAATTTACTGTTAAAAAGCTGTATCAGTGGCTGAATGGAGCACATAAGTAATTAGTTTTAAATGGCAAGCCTAGTTTTCCTGGTTTATATTAGGGCACATAAGTGGGCAAATGTGTCACCATAGGATTTTATCGCTTTGTCAGGTGTTATTGTGTTTAAGTATAGCTTAACTTAACATGAGAAGTTAAGGCTAACATTAGAAAGAGTAAAAGACATACACTTTTGATACTTAATTTATAAAGCAGCTTTGGCTGTGGTCTTTGGAATTTAGTACATGTTTTGTTTGCAGGTTAATGTGTTATTAATTGTCTGAAAACCATCAATAAAAACCCACAATGCAGTAACATGAAAAGGAAAATGATTTTACCTCTTCTTTAAAGCAAAATACACCACAGAATAGAAATCAGTACCGTAGATGTTAAGAAAAGTTTGACTCCCAGCTGTAAAGCAGCAGAACAGCATCTTTTGTGTTGTCTTTTTTGCAGATAAAACATCAATGTGATGGACTTGGAAGATAGCAGAGTAATAGATATACTCAGGTGTGATTTGTTAGTGCTGTTATCTGCAAAAGGCTGTCACTTGCTATTACCACTTATAAAATAGGACTTTGGGAGCACTAGTATGTCTGAGAAGCCCTCAGTCACCGTATGGCTTTTCAACATTCATTTTCACAGATCTCCAGTAATGTTCTTGAACAGATAACCAGTTTTGCCTCAGGAACATCGTATCATCTTCCCTTGGCTCACCATATACAGCTCATCTTTGATCTCATGGAGCCAGCACTGAATATCAATGGACTTATAGACTTCGCAATACAGGTAATCAGAATTCATTTTTTGGGGGGTTATGCCAGGGTAAAGCTGTGATATGTTTTCTGTAAAACCATAAAAAACCCAAGCTGGACCGCAAATTCTGATTTGCTGCCATGCACTTTTGATCTGTTTCAGTTTCCTAACCTCTGAAACAGAATGCCAGATACTTCCCCTTCTGTCTTATTTTGACCATTATAATGTTGTTGTTTTTTTTTTTAATCTTTCAAAATTAATACAATTCTGGAGTATTTTAGGATGGGCTTCACTCCAGCCAACGTATTTCTGAAGAGCAGTTCTGGGGATGTGTTTTAGTCTTGAACAGCTTATTTTGCTCCTTCTTTCCCTTGCCCTGTAGTAAGACAAAAATTTCATTTTTGTTTGCCGTATAGTTTTTCCTTAATGTATGGTTTGGTTTTGGTTTTTTTTTTGCACTCCTTTTATGTATTTAACTTGGAAGTTATTTTTGTTTCATTGTTTTTTGTGTATGTGTTTTCAGCTGTTGAATGAGCTGAGTGTTGTGGAGGCAGAGCTGCTGCTGAAGTCGTCCAGCCTGGCAGGAAGCTACACGACAGGGCTGTGTGTCTGCATTGTTGCTGTTCTGCGCCGTTACCATGCCTGCCTCATCCTCAACTCGGAGCAAACTGCACAAGTCTTCGAAGGGTTTGTGGCAGCTACAGTTTTCCAGCATATATTTTTTGGTATTCTCTCTTAAGCAAAAAGTGTGTTTAGTGACACCAGCCATCATGGTGCTGTTGGAAGGCTGCAAGTGAGCCCAGGTGAGCAGAGTGGATGGCTCACCTCCACAGCCTGCTCCCCACCGCTGAGGGCTGGTGGTACCTGAACACTTGGTGACCCAAGAAAAGGGGGAAATTGCATTATCTTGATTTCCTTTCTGCTCCTCCCGTTCTGACCTGGGCTCCCTGAGTTAAGTGCTGTCATCATGCTACCTAGATAATGGTGAGGTTTATATGTTACATAAAAACATGAGACGCACTTCTAAGGTGTATTGGAGCAAGCTCAGAATGCTTTTGTTTTTGCAGGTTGTGCGGGGTGGTAAAGCACGTTGTTAATCCCTCAGAATGCTCTTCCCCCGAAAGGTGTATTCTAGCTTATCTCTATGATCTGTACGTGTCCTGTAGTCACCTGAGAAGCAAGTTTGGAGACCTCTTCAGGTGGGTGGTAATTGGATTTTTCTCACCACTGCCTAGCCGGTAGACTAATGTGGGATGCAATTCTCTGGCCTGTGCCAGCATGGCAGCACAGCGTGTGGTCCTGAGTCTGTGGGTATGTGCTGGGGAGGTGCAGAGGCTGAGCCCTCTGTACAGCGCAGGGGTGAGCTCAAAAGGTTGCTTTGCAAGTGGCAAGCAGGCAAGGGATGCAGGGACCATTGGCATCGAGCTGCTGGGGCAGCTGCACTGTGCAGCACTGGAGCCTTCCACACACACCTTTGCTTTCGCAGATTATGGTGTGACTGATTCAGTTCCTATAATGCATCAGCCAATTGGCTGTAATACATACAACACTGGAATGAAAAATAACAAAATCTTAGCTGACGCAGCTGTAATATTCTATTAAATATTTCTTTTGATGTGGGGAGAGGCACAAACATGTTTGAGTTTGTGAAGTTTTATGCAGAAATGCTCTGTTCCCTGATTTTTTTAAATTAAAAAAATGTTTTAGGTATCCATATGATTTTTTTTCTTTTTTTTGCTCTTACTCTTTAAAGGTGGGTGAAAAGCTTTCATATGTAAATATGTATCTTGTAAAGTTTGCAAACCACTTCAGTTACTGTTTCCCCTCCTAGTTTACGTACTCAGTTTTGTTTTGCATATTTCAGATTTGTGGGTTTCATTTCATAGGGAGCAGGAAAAGAGTTCTCAGAAATAACCTTAATATTTTAACAGGTTTACAAACACATGGGAACTGTAGCATTTAGTATGAGAAAGGCTAGGGAAAAGAAATATGTAATATAGAGCTACAGAAGTGTCTTAGCTGTATATTCATATTTCTGACTAAAACCTAAAGTTCAGTAATACAACAAAAAAATAAAATATAACCTACAATAGAAAATCAAAACATCATCTAGTAATATAAAGATATTTAAGGTATTAAATCATGCATTAAATATATGATATACAGCACTTGATTTGAAGCCCCTTTTTTCTGATAAATGGAGTTAGAAATTCTCTGGAAACTGGCGATAAATTTTATGTATGCATTTTTTAAACAGCTGTATATAAGGCAGTAGCGTTACACTTGTTTTCTTCTTGGTTTCCTTGCTACAACTGAAACAAATCCCAAAACAGTTGTCTATATGCGGCAGCTTTGTTTGCCCCATTTCAGCACATTAAGTCCGGCTGCTTCTCTAAGTCAGCTTGAAGCAACAATAAATTACAGTTCTTAACTGTTTAAAATGAGAGACTTACCTTCTGTATATTGCTGTGCTTTGCAAATGGCTTCTGATATCATCTGCAGTATTTCTCATGACTGGGTTTTACTAAGTGAGCTGCATGCTTCGGTTTCATATGCTCAGTGTATTTAGTTGTGTTCACTAAACTTCCTTTTTTTAAATCATTCCTTTACTTTTTCTTTTTTTTTTTTTTTTTAAATCTTATCTCCTAACCACTCCCCCAGTGTTACTTCTTGTGCAAACACAGTTTCAGTGTCTGCTTTGCTCACACTTTGTGGGTGAAATTTTTTTTCTTCATTAACACCTTTTTTTTGCCCTGAAGAAAGCAAATTAACAGACAGGCTTTCCTAACCTGGAGCATTTCTTGACCTTTTGTCATAATTATTACTGACAAAATATGGCCTTTGAGTATCTTTTCTCTGTTTACTGATCTAATCTTTCAAAAAGTTGTCTGTTATGTCTCATTATTACCAAATATAGAGTTTTAAGCTTAGGTACATTTCCTCCTTTTTCCTTAATTAATTCTTCTTACCATCACTGCAGTTCACTGTGTGGTAACAGGAGGCAGCTTCATGAAGTACTGTTACCATTCCGTGTAGAGGCATCTGATACTCCAGGAAGTTATTGCTAGTAAGGAATGAATGGGTCCAGCTGCTCACTGTTTCATTCACAGAAATGTCGTATAAGCGATTTCAAAATGCAAAACTTTATTGGCAGGAAATCTTGAATTAAATTGGCTTATCAGCCTTGTTTTCTGGTAGATGTGCCTTATCAAAAATGAGTTTGCAAGCATGTACAGAATGGTAACCAAATTATAATTTTCTAATGCCATGTGGCATGTTCAACAGCATTCCCACAAAGTACTCTTTTTGGCAACTCTCTCTTCTTTTGGTCCTCAGTAGTGCCTGTTCTAAGGTGAAGCAAACGATATACAGCAATGTTCAGCCTTCAAATTCCAATTTACTGTGGGACCCAGAGTTCATGCTAGATTTTATTGAGAATCCTTCTGCTCACAGCATTAACTACTCAATGTTGGGCAAGATCCTGAGTGATAATGCTGCCAATCGCTACAGCTTTGTCTGCAATGCGCTAATGAACGTGTGCATGGGGCACCAAGATGCAGGAAGGTAAGGCAAAACCATGCTGGAATTAGAACTGGATGGATTCTTACGAGGTGTATATGAGGTTTCCTCTCACCTTTTTCTTTTGTGTCTCTTTGGCAATTGTTTTCATTCGTTATTCTTTCTGGTTGCTGAAAGTTTATTGTTTGCTCTAAGTTATTTCAGTAAATCAAACTGCATATTTTAACAGAAGGGAGTAACAAGTAGAAAGCACTCACTGAGAGGCGGTTAGTGTTTTTCATATGAACTGTTGGGCTGTTTCTGGCAGAACAGCTCAGCACAATCTTTGCTCATGAGAAGCCTGTAAATGAGGGAAGGTTCTGCATTAGGTCACTTCCTTCTCCTGATGCAATCGGTGTTTCATTTATTAAATGCGTAATTTACTACTTACGGATTTCATCTCATGTACAGTATTAGGAGTTTTATTGTCTAGAAGCTACTAGAGGTATAAGAGCTGCCTGTTATATTCTGGGAGTAGCTTCTGCCTTGTGGTACACAGTTCAAGGTGATTCCCCCGTGATTAGAATTTAGGATGAGACTTGCACTTCCACAGCACTGCTGGGACCAGTTTTCATCCAACACCAGCAGGCACTGGCTCCTGCCACTGCCAGGTGGAGCTTTGGTCTGATCCAGCATAATGCTTCTTGGATGTGAAGTCTATGTTAGATCTTTTTAGATGATCTCAAGATTCAGACAAGAACGATAGTGAAGAACCCTCGCAGTAAAACAATACCAGTGTTAGGTTTTACACTGACAGTATGCTTCTTTCATAATTCAGGTGTTCTCTCAGTTGCTTCCTCCTTCCAGCATACAAGAACATAAACTCAGCCTTCCTGTGCAAATGAAGCGCTGCAGTGCTGAAACTGTTTTACCCTGGGTTCCCATTCTGCAGTCTGTGATGGAGGGTGAAACAGACACTAATTCTGCATCTAGCCTTTATCCCTGCCCTCAGCATCAGTATTACTTTTACACAACTTGGTGTTCTGTTCTGATCCTATTCCAATTTTTATTAAAAAATCCGTGGTATTGGTAGTTAGGCCTTGGCACAGCACTAGCTAATGGCCATTTTTAAGGTCACTGACAGATCACAAAACTCAAGGAAATTGTGGATTTGATTTTCTTTTTTTCTTTCCTGATTGAGTCCTACCCAAAGTAGGATAGTTCCACTATCCTTCTCCCTATCCCTAGTATAAACCAGTCTCTAAAACGTCCAGAGCAGGTCCAGAGGAGGCCACAGAAATGTTAGAGGGCTGGAGCAACTTTCCAATAAAGAGAGGCTGAGAGAGTTGGGCTTATTCAGCCTGGAGAAGAGGAGGTTCCGGGGAGATCTTGCAGTCTTTCAATGTATAAAGGGGACTTATAAGGTAGAGAGGGACTTTTTACGAGGGACTGTAGGAATAGGACGAGGTGTAATGGCTTTAAACTGAAAACGGGGAGATTCAGATTAAATAGTAAGAAGTAACTCTTTACTGTGAGGGTGGTAGTGGGCTGCCAGAGAAGCTGTGGCTGCCCCATCCCTGGCAGTGTTCAAGGCCATGTTGGATGAGGCTTTGAGCAACCTGGTCTAGTGGAAGGTGTCCCTGCCATAGCAGGGGTTTGGAACTAAGCTTTAAGGTCCCTTCCTCCCCAAACCATTCCGTTGATTCTATGAAATGTGGGGCATCCTTGGCTGAGCAGTGCAGCTGAGAGGAAGCAGTTTTGTAAGAGCACCAAAGGGGAACATCTAAATGTGGCCAAACGAGTTTCACTGTGCAACAGAGAAAAAATAACTTGCACTGGCATGAGTCAACTCTGCTCTGTTTTTTTAAAAAGGTTACATAACTCTGAATCATACACCAAATCACACATCACACTGTATGCGATCTGTGAAGTGAAATTCATCAATGCCAATTTCCTCCTGAACAGTAGTGCTGGCCTGGCACAGGGTGGGAGGGCTCTTGCAATGGGATGTCAGTCACTGCTGACCTGGGCGCTGGACAGTGTGCACCACATGCAGCACTTCACTGTCACATTTTTGCATAAAAAGGGGATGGAGCTGCTGTTTGTGTGACAGCACTGAGGGAAGGTATGAGAGCATGTCCCTGTGGAGAGTAGCAGGCCATCTGCTGTGGTGGGCTGCAGGCAGCAGGGGTTTGGGTGCTCCATCCCTCTTCCTGGGCAGCTCAGCACTGGTAGAGACACTAGTGAGAACACAGGGTATACCAACTAGGGTTTACACAAAATAAAGGCCCTGTGCTACTGCAGATTGGGTGGCTGCAGGTTATGGGGTACAATTCACATACTGGGTTTTTTCCCCAAGATGCTTCAGTTGTCCATAACTGAATAACAATAGATTATATGTACAGTAGCATAATTGCATTTAGGAATAAAACCCCACCTTAAGTGAGGAAACACAGCTTCTTCTGCCAAGCACTGATCTGCTTTGACCTAAACAGTTATTGTTTACAAAATCTCTTGCTCTTGTATTAGTTTTTCTCTTCTTTCCTAGGATTAATGACATAGCAAACCTTTGCGCAGAGCTGACGGCATGCTGCACGGTTCTTAGCTCAGAGTGGTTAGGGGTTGTAAAAGCTCTTTGCTGCTCTTCAAATCACGTCTGGGGCTTCAATGATCTGCTATGCAGCGTGGATGTAAGTTCAATATCTTCTGAAGTACCTGTTAAACCTATTTACCTAGGCTGCACTTAGGAGTGTAGTAAGGTTTCCATTCAGTACAAAAGATGGAGCACAAATTTGGTCCTGTATCCATTTGAGTTTTCAAGGCTTTTAATGAGATTCCTGATTGGTTTTTAATTTTTTTCTTCATCTTCAGGGTTAATGTAGAATTTGGGCAGTTCTTGGGAGTTTCCTCTTTGTAAACTTTTTGTTACAGAATGATATAGAATATCAAAGGTACTCTTTAAAAGGAGCAGGGGTGTCCCTATACTTCTCTAAAATGTTGAGAGGTGTGTAAATAACTCTATTTTATTTTAGAGACCTGCTTTGGTGTTTGGACTTAGATTGTAGGTGGCATACTTTGCTGTTCCTTATTCACCTGTTGTGACTTACTGTAGTTCTGTTAAAGTTAGCACAATTACGGTGACTTACGTTATCCAATATCTGATTCAATATATTTATCTATAGTTTGAGTACATATTGATTACAGACTGAAGCTGTGTATATTTGGGACATATCCTTGTGCTGAAGCTAAGGAATGAGTATTGATGTTATCAGGTTTTATACAATGATAAAAATTTCTCAAGTTTTTATAAAGGTAATGCTTTTTATTTCAGAATTTGTGGTATTTGAAGTAGGTATTTGCTAAAATTAAGTTAAAAACAATCAATATTTGCCATAAAATATTTGGGAAATGCATTAAAATTAGAGACAAACACGTATGTGTAAACATTTTAAAGTTTATTCTTAATAGTTGCATCAGTGGTGTGTGCACTATTACGTGAACCCTTGCAATGTTTTTCCTTCCAGGTGAGTGATCTGTCATTTCACGATTCCCTGGCCACTTTCATTGCTATACTGATTGCCCGGCAGTGCTTTTCTCTGGAAGATGTAGTTCAGCATGTTGCACTGCCTTCTCTTCTTGCAGCTGGTAAGAAAATACTAAGAGAAGAACTTAAGAAGTCTGAAGCTTGTCATTTTAAGAAGTCTCCTTTGACTGAATCAGTAGTGTGTTCTGAGCTTCATTCTTGTATGGAATGCCACTTATTGTGCATTACAGCATGTGTGTCACTGCAAGCTCCCAAAAGGAGCAATTCCAAGCTAGATCAGAGAACCCGTATGTGACAAGTGGTATCAGAGTTGCTGGCAGCACACTGTCCCCTTATGTTATGCATCTTCACCTTCTGCTCACAACTCTCTTCTGTGTGCCATATGTTCAAATGTCAGACAGATCTAGTCAGGTTGTGCATTTCCTTCTGGCATCAGTCTGCCTGATACCACTTTTTCTCTCTAACCTCATTGTCCTTGCCAGCAGCCCCGGAGTACTCTAGCTATGGTCCTCTTTGTTGGCTGCTTCACACATTTCTTTTCACTTACTACTTAGATTTGTGTTTCTTATTTCTGCTTCAACTATCAATTTTAACTGTGCATTATTTTTTGCCACATTTAGGTCTCTTGTTTACCAAAAGTCATACTATTCTTTTCTGGTTTTTAATCACTCAAGGCCATAAATGCTGATGAAATTTTTGTATTCCCATTTAAAATGGGGTTGTGAGGTAGAACATTTCCAGGCCTGCCACTGGGACTTGCAAGGTCCTGGGCAGATGCTTTATGTCCACATCCCATCTTCCATAGCCTGTGGAGATCCAGATGCTGAGCCTGGGGCAAGGATGACCTGCCGGCTGCTCCTACACCTCTTCAGGACACCCCAGGTTTGCTTCTTTCCCCAGGGAACAGGTAAGTTCCTTGCTGTATGGTCCTTTCAGAAAGCAAACCCAGATGAGTTTTAATGGCTCATGTGTGAAAATATCCATAGTGCAAATACAAATGATAGCCCGTTTAAAATTACAGATGTTTCACTGGTGAAAAGTTGATACGTGCTATTCTTACTTGTTTGGGAAATGTTTTGTATGCATGTAAAACTACAGAAGTTTTCTGAAACATATTCATTATCAACCTCTGGTCAGCCAGGCGTGACATGATGTTGACATAAAACTCAGCCATATTAATATTATATCTTAAAAGAAAATTAAGTTTTAACATAGTAACTATGTACACTTCAGCAAAGAGGAATACATTTAGAAGAACTGTTCTGTCCTGGTAGTTCTCACTTTGTTTTGGAACGTCAGTTAAACCATCATGTGAGCCTGGGAACTATTAAGACTGGTTTTGTGACAGTGCTGCTGTTGGCAGTACCTACCACAGTCCCCACCGTCCTTTGTACTAAATACTGTCAGGGCAGTAGTGGGTCATCCTGCAGTGATCTGGAAACCAAGCATCACACAGTTTGGTAGCCTTGCATGTAAACTGGAACTAAATGTAATTTTTAAATAGGATGTAATAACAGCATCTAGTCCAACAGAAGAAACATGAGGAAATTAGTTCTCATGATATATTAATGTGGTTCTTTTTCATTTTAAATTTGAATATTCTGTGGTCTGATGTGTGTGTGTTTGCCACAGACCAAAAGGGGAAGGAGAAGGGCACCTAACAACTAAAAGGAAACAAGTCTGGAAATAACTTGTGTCTTGACTGAAAAGTATTTCAGCAAATATGATGATAAGACTATATGGGAAAATGAAATTGAAAGGAAACAAAATATCAGCTCTTCAATGGTGTCTAGTTCTTCCATCTAAAAGTAATATTAATTTCTTTTTTGACCAGAAATCAGTGGGCTTTTGTTGCATATTTGAGCAAAATAAGAGCCATGAAGAATACTGTCTGAGAAACATAAATGTTAATGTTAAATGGTCCCGAGCCTCCCAAGAAATAAAAGTGGATTTGAATGGACAGGAAAAATGATGTCTGAACTCTAGGAGTTACTACAAGTCAAACAAAATGTGACCACATTATAGTCTTCTCTTACATGTGGCTCAGTTAACCACCCTCAGAAAGGTGGTTTCATTCTCCTTCCCTCTTTCTCTTCTTTTTCCTTCTTTCCCTCCCTTCCTCCCTGTCTTTCTGTTTATTTTCAAGTTAGAAAAAGCACTCACTGGCTTCTTCTGGAGCCTGCCTCTGACCTGCAGAATTAGGCTTAACTGTGATAGGCATTTATATTAATTAATTTTACCTCATTTGTTATGAAGACTAGGTGAAGGAAGTAATTTCCTAAATCTGTGAAGTCAAAATCAAAATACATGTCAGTGTCTCGTGGTTAAATTCACTGTTTACATGGACACAGTGAAAGACAAAATCCTTTTTCTATTTAAATGATCATAGCTTATTTTGATACTAATACATCATAACCATGTATCCCAGTTGATTTTAATGACTTACCTATTGTTCTTCACTTTCAATTCCAGAAAATTCAGTTCTTCATTCAGTTATTGTACTTCTATAGCCATTCTAGATGAAAGGGATTTTGTACAAAGGAAATTTCAGTTTGGCAAAAAAACACTGTTTTCTACAAGATTTACTCTTCTTTCCATAGGCAAATTATTTCCTGGAATTCGTTCTTCTTGTGATCGTCACCTCTTGGCTGCTGCTCACAACAGTATAGAAGTGGGAGCTGTGTTTGCAGTCTTAAAAGCAATTTTAATGCTTGGTAAGATTATGCAGAGCCATGTGTAGTGTTTTTGTTCTAGTGTTTGGGTAAAAAAGAGATCGTGCCAGTTCACTTTCCTGGGAGTGCTCCTGGGAAAGGAAAGCCCTGGTGACAGGAGACAAATGTGTTTTCTGTCTGTGCTTGTGTAGTATGTAAGTAGCATTTCCCCAGAAGGTCAAGAGACAGGATTTTTCTTTGGTGAGTCAGCCCCAGCTGATGAGGCTTTAAGCAGATGTGACTTTTTCACATTTTGACCCCTACCCCCGCCACCAAGTCCCAGTACATTTCAAACTCAGGCGAGTCCCTCTCAAATACAGAGAAGAAGTGTGATCTCAGATCAATTTTCCCACCTTTTTCTGTATCGTACCACAGATCACGTGTCTGTCATTGTGGAAGCTGTGAAAGAATCACTGCTAAGAAACTCTCCACAAATAATGAGTGTGTTGTTTTTTCGAACCAAATGCCTAAGAGCTTTGGTTTGGCTTAAGTTCAGTTAAAGCTTGTAACCTATGGTGATGTGTATTTTTGGAGTTAAGTAAATGTCCAGTTAACCAAGTAAGATCTTCCAGACGTGGACATACCCACAGACGTACACCTCCCTAGAGTGCCATTATTGTATTTTCTGTTGGCCAGTGTCTCAGAACTGTCTCAAAACCCCTTGATCCTTAATAATGTGGCTATATTGGGAAAGGTGTTAAAGGCATAGCTATCTGGGATGGACTGGTGGATTTGGGAGTGAGTTTGAAATAAGTTTATGGCTGTTACTGATGTTCTTTTGCTATTCAGAGTGCTGAGATTTGCTGTTTTTCTTCATAAATGGTGTGTGGTGTGAATATGTATTGTTTCATCTCTGTGCAGAGATGTGGTTTGGATAGTGTCTGCTGCAGGGTGGTATGAAGGAAGGTTCAGGCGCACAGTTTATTTGTGCCTATACTGCAGCACATCTTCTTGTGTACCCAAAATGTTATATTTGTAAATGTATTATTTGTCTGCCAGGTTCTTCCCTCTTGTCCTTCAAGGGTACAGATTTGGGCTTGATATGTTTGTGCTCACAAGCTCAAAAGATGCTGAATGGAAGGGGTGGACAGGCTGTTTGCTGCTGCTCTCTGTTCACGTGTGTTGGGCACAGGCTCCCATCAGCTTGTTTCCCATGCTCTTTGCAATGAGCTTGTCCTGACCTTTGGGTCCTTTGGGGCTTGTTGTGCCTGATGTACCAGTCATTGGGTCAGTGATATGGGCCCAGTGGAGGTTTCTGAATTTGCAGGAACAGAGATTATAACTGTCACCTCTCAAGATATGTTCTGCTTTTCTGCTATTGGAAAAATACTTTCTACTCAGCCTCATGAGTGACAACACTGTTCAGTCTTTCCCCTCTCTGTAAGGAGCCAATTCCTTGTGCTGCTCTGTGTGTGTGCAAGTGACTGAAGCAAGCCATTTAGCCTTGTCATGTCATGTTAGTTGTTGATCTGAGGTGTTTTCTAAGGGATGACTATTATATGTGGTGCTTCAGTTAAGATGCATGCAACTTTCTGCTGGTTTAAAATATTAGGCTATGTTAACCCACTCTTCATGCAGGCTGCTGGATAGCCTCACAGGCTCTGGGGCATGATTATGTGGAGTGGTTTGTGTTGTTTTCCCCACTACTACATGCTGTAGTTGCATCTTTTTCCTTGCCCAAGGTTCCAGGCCCATAAACATGTAAACCAGGCACTGCTACAGTTCTGGTTTTGGGGTGGGGTTTTTTTGTTTGTGGTTTTTTTATTATTTTTTTTCACTGTGTCTGAAGTGTTTTTCCTTGTCTCTAGTCATCCCTGTTGGTTTCCGGTAGATGGTGATTGTACCACTGTACCAGTGCCTTACAGGGAGGAGGGGCTCACCAGTGTTGGCCAGGCTCCCTCAGCATGCTCTGTCCTCCTCCATTCCCAGGAAGATCAGTCTCTCTTGTCAAGAAGTTCATAGGAAAGTGGGCTAAGTGACCACTGATCAAGCTTGTCTCTTGATCTGTAGAGTGATAATAAATCAAAGTAAGACTTGAGAGACATCTGAGAAAAGTGAGTAACCCAACACGTCCTTATCTGCTAAAGCAATATCATACACTCACAAAGCTTTTCTTGTTGAGCATGTAGTGGCTTTACTTGTGTTTGATTCATATAAACCTTTTTCTACTTCTGAAATATCCATTACAAAGATGGTATGCAAAATAAAGCGAGTGGAGAATACTTTGGCCATGGTGATTTTCAGAGTCCATTAGTGCTGCCCCTCTACTGTAGCTGCCTCACTCCTGCTTTACCCCTCAGCTGGCCTGTGCCTCCATATACTTCCCCTGGCAGGTAAGCGGTCTGTGAGGGCATGGGCAGAAGTTCACCCCTTGCTTCTGTGCTTCTGCTGCGCAGGTGATGCTGAAATTGGCAGCAACAATGTCAGCTCCTTGAAGAGTGAAGACTTCCATATGAGAGGCTTGTTAGATGAACTCAATGAGGATGAAGTCTGGGGCTCTTCTCACACTTTGAAAGCATGTGGAAAAGCTGTTTCCTTGGAAACTGCTAGTTTAAGCGAGTATGCTAGATATGTACTAAGAACAATTTGCCAGCAGGTAATCTCTAAAAGTACTCATCTGTCTTCATTTGGAGAAACAATGCTATTTTATTTGAAAAGTGTATAATATATTTGGGTGCAAAATGAATGTTGAAGTATTTCAGTATTTGGGTTCTGTTGGGGTTTCCTCATTTGGAAAATTTATATATGGAGTAGTATGTTACTGGGGTGGGGAAGAAATTAGCATCTTCCTGCACTCTATGAGAACTCTAAAAAAAACTAGGGTTTTTTCCTGCCTGAATCTTGAAAGCTTTGAGCAGACAATAGGACCGCACCATTAGCTGACTGCTCACGTGCTTTTGCATTAGCATTTGCTTTATTGCAAAGTTGCTTTTAGACTACGGAATAAATTAATTTTGGGAAAAAAATGTTAATCTTATACTTTCAGGAGGTACTGAATGACAGAAGACATTTATAATCTCACATGTTGCATGAGCCGTAATTCAATTCAAGTTTTGCATATGGAAAAATCACTTTTCTGTTTAGCTTTCCAAAAGTTAATATTGTCTTGAAACTATCTTGCGGACTTGTTATTTGATTACTTACAGGAATGGGTTGGAGAGCACTGTTTAAAAGAACCTGAGAGGTTGTGCACAGACAAAGATCTTATTTTGGATCCTGTTCTTTCAAACAAACAAGCTCAGAAACTGCTTCAACTTATCTGTTATCCTCATGGTATTAAAGAATGCACTGAGGGTGACAACCCTCAGAGGCAGCATATCAAGTGCATACTTCAGGTAATGCAATGGGGAAAAGGAAGAAAAACTACCTGTGATGCACTGGCTCTTAACCTGTCATTCACCAGCACCACCAACTGACACTGATTTGCAGTTTCTGATGCAACCAAGTATTAGATTATTCTTTAAAGATTGCACATGCTCAGGATTCCCACTGGCTGTGGGAAACATTTTATAGTGTGACTTCTGGTGTCTCATTATGCCTGATTCCACAGTTATGAAAGAGACAAGCATGTAGCATGCTCATTGTTGCTGTTCCCCATTGTCAGTCATTAGGAAGCCACTGAAAAGGGAGCTGCTTTTAGGGTTGCCTACATTGAGATGCATGTGGTCTCAGTAGGCGTCTGTAACAGTACTGTGGTGAAAGGCACTCCTGCTCCACAAAAAAGGCTCAGATGCCTTCCTGGGCAGTCCTTAAACTGGTCATTTCTTCAAATTCAGCTGCACTAGGGACACTTAATCTCTTCAACTATAAAGACCAAGTACTTTGTCTTGGATTTTCTTGGAATAGACCTGTGGAGAATCAGATTGGCAATTGTGCTAAATGCAGGCATGTCCACTAGGGTGGCGGTGCTGTGGATTAATGTAATTACTAATGAAAGAGCGAATTACATTTTCTGTATTCACACTTAACTAAACTCAGATTTTGCAGAGAGCAAGTTTTTTATTGAGAAAAGTTGTGTGGTCATAAATATTGAGTAATGATATTAGTTGCAAAGATGTAGAAGTTAATGTACATTCTTTAATAGGTATTTTTACATGATATTTTACATGTCATTAGACTATTAAAGAGTAGTGATTGTGATGACCAGTTTATAAGGTTTATTTATGAGGTTTTGCATGTACCATGATTATTATGAGATTTATTTTTTTTCTTCAGACCTGAAGTGTTGACATTTGTATTTGTAATGTTAATTCTTACCCAGAACTTAGATCAGTGGACTCTCCGGCAGTCTTGGTTGGAGCTCCAGCTAATGATCAAACAGTGCATGAAGGAGCCTGTGAGTATTTGTTTTCAAACTTTCTTATCTAAATATCTAATGTGAAAAAGTATGTTAAATTTTAACGTAGTCCATGAGCAAACATACCATGAATGTGCTAGTTTACTTATGTTTTACTGTAGGGTTCTGGGTCTGTGGCTGAAATGAACAGCTTGTTGGATAATATTGCAAAGGCGACAATAGAGGTGTTTCAGCAATCCGCTGATCTAAACAATAACTCTTCTAACTCTGGTATAGGCCTCTTCAATCCAAACTCTGTTGGAAATGCTGACACAAGTAATACAAGACAGAATGGTAAAAAGACATTCCTAAGGTATTTTTTTGTAGCACCTTTTTAATTATTTTAGCCAACATGATGCTTAATTATGTGTAGATTGCCTAGACTTTTTTTGCACTTGAAAAAGGAATCTACAGAAATGAGTTACCTGAAGGTTACTTCTGTTTGCTTTTGTTTAACAGTAAATGTAGTTGATATTCTTGAACTTTCTGGAAACCAGAAATAGTGACTGCTCAGTCCACACTAGTTACTCCAGATGCATTGTTTCAACTGTTTCATTAAAGCAGTTCAGTCTTGTAACAGCTAATAACTTTTTGCAAAAGTACATGGATATTTTGGCTGAAGTAAGTTTATTCTACTTCTAGTTCCTCTGAACGGCGAGGAGTGTGGCTAGTGGCTCCCTTGATTGCAAAACTGCCTACCTCAGTTCAAGGTAGGGTCTTGAAAGCTGCGGGAGAGGAGCTGGAGAAAGGTCAGCATTTGGGGTCATCTTCTAAGAAAGAGAGAGACAGACAGAAACAAAAAAGGTACGACCTTGGAAAATACTTACATGCAGAGTTGAAAGGTAATTCTGAAGGAGGGGTATACTGAAGGCTGGATTTGGCTTCACCAAACCTCATTGCTTCACTTTTATGGAGCAAAAAGTTAACCCCAAACAGGGTTCAGGTTTCATTTAGTTTGAAGAAATATCATTGGAAAAGTTAGATATCTAAGATAATAGTTAGAGCGCTTGTTGTCTCTTCCTTTCCATGTCAGTAGGCTATTTTTCTTGCCATTAAGATCCTATAATTGTCATAAAATGTCATCTAACTCCTGTTGCAAATAAAGCTTAAGCTCATTTCTTAACTTTCAAAGCACATGAGAATTTTAATGACTTAGTGGTTATTGATTTTCTTTTAGTCAGATATTCTTCCACAGTGCCTATAATTTTTATACTTCCTTAGAGTTATGGTAGAAATTACGTTCAATACTACACACAAGGTCTCTAAGCTTCAAACACCAACTATCCTTCTTGTGAAACTCTTCCAAAATACAGTTGTTCAAGAAAACAAACCACTTCTTGATTGAAAACAAACTTCATTACTTTGTGAGTGAAAAAAAACAGTAATACTATGGGAAAGTATGAAATCTTATATTACATATTGTCATGGTTTAAACCCACCTGGTAACTAAATATCACGCTGGTAACTAAGTACTGCTTGCTCACTAACCCTCTTCCTCCCACAGCTCCCTGGGCAAGATGGGGAGAATTGAAAGAATGTAAAATGTGCAAGTTGAGATAACAATAGTTTAGTAGTTGAAATAAAGTAAAATATAGTGATAATAGAAAAAACCCCAAAACACAATACTGGTTGGACAGAGGCTTGAGTGACATGGTTTAGTGTGAGGTGTCCCTGCCCATGGCAGGGGGGTTGGAACTAGATGATCTTAAGGTCCTTTCCAACCCTAACTGTTCTATGATTCTATGATAATAATAATAGGGAAAAACAGAAAGAAGAAAAGAGAAATGAAAATTCAGAAACACAAGTGATGCACAGCACTATTGCTCACCACCTGCAGCTGATACCCAGCTTGACCCAAGCAGTGACTGGTCCCTTCTGGGTAACTCCCCCCAGTTTATATACTGGGCATGATGTGCTGTGGTATGAAATAACCCTTCGGTTAGTTTGTCCTGGCTCCTCCCGGCTTCTTGTGCCCCTTCTTGCTGGCGGAGCATGAGAGACTAAAATGTCCTTGATCGGGGTAAGTGCTACTTAGCAACAACTAAAACGTTGCTGTGTTATCAGCATTGTTCTCAGACACAGCACTGCCCCAGCTACTAGGAAGGAAATTAACTCTGTTCCAGCTGAAACCAGGACGCCTATATAAGAACTCTTTTTTCATACTCTGCTTTCTGTAGTAGGGATAGCAGTTGCAATAATAACTGTCTTGCAAACCATAATTTTTTCTTATGGAAATTAGTGAGAAAATAAAGAGGTGTTCCTACCATGTTGCTCTTAAAATCTGAAAAATTGCTCTTTAACATGACTTTCTGAAAATGCAGACTTCCTATTTTTCACCTTTTATTGGACCTTGGGATTTTGCCATTCCTTTATACTAATTGTCACGTAAATTGTTGAAGTCAAGTTAAATTCCAAATGAAAATAACTGTTGAAATGAATACTTGTAATCAATACAAATGTGTATGTGTGCATATGTATTTATATTGTATTTATATTGTGTTTATGGATGCATGGAATTTTCAAGGACCTTATATACCTAAAACTGCAAAAATCATTGCGTGAGCTGTTACTCAAATCCCTTTGCCGACATTTTAAACTTCTCCTCTGCTTCACATGTACTTTCAAATTAATATTTGTGTGTTTCTTTCAGTTTGTCTTAACTTTGTTATAATGGCTGCACGTTAATCTAAAAGAACTATAAAATATTGAACATCCTTGCATTGGTATGGCATAGCTCCTACAACGAGCTAAAGCCGCATCTTGGTTTAACTACATTAAGCCTGTGATAGAATTTTAGTGCAGTTTAGGTAGGCAGCTGTCACTAATCAGTGCTTGCATGGGAAACTTGCTTGGGATTCACATCAGACCACTAACATGGGTTAGAAACTTTAGCTGCCTAATCTCCACTAAAATTGTATCCCCAGTTAATTAAAGTAGTTTTAAAATAACATGGACTGATTCTGAGTCAGGCCTTCAAGTGTCTGTGCGATTCTTGGTCATTCCATGCCCTAAGCTAGGTGGCTTCTCAGTAATGATGTGCATAATATGTGCATTTACCCTGCTGGTGCTGTGCCTGCTTATGTACATGGTCTTTTAATTCACCTGGCAAGGCTTTAATTTACTAAACCAGAAACAGACTTTAGATGCAGACAGTGCCAATTCAAGGAAAAAAGTAGACAAAACAAGGAAGGGAGCAAGGATGGGAAGTATCAAAATAACTTTACTAATTGACTTCTGTGTTTGCCTCTCTTAAAGCATGTCTCTCTTGAGTCAGCAACCTTTCCTTTCATTGGTACTTACTTGCCTTAAGGGACAGGATGAGCAACGGGAAGGGCTTCTAACATCACTGCAGAATCAAGTTAATCAGGTAAAACAAGCACATGATCATGAGCACCCTTTGTGAGATGTTTCAGTGTCATCATTTTTGCGGGTATACGATGTGTAAACCCAGGAAAATTACAATGCAATGCTGTGCCAAAAGGAGCAGTCCAAGGAAGGAAGAATGGGGAGGTGTTTGTTCCTTTTAGAGGGTGAATACATCTATTTTTCTAAAATTGTTACAGAGAAATATAATGAACTTGAGTCTGAGTTCAGTTGTTTCCAGGAAAAACAGTAACTGATGTTTGTCCTGAAAGGAACAGTGTTCTCAGTCTCTAGCTGATCATAAAAAGGTTTTATAAGTTTGAAATTTTTGTTGCTTAGGAAAATCCTTCATCTTCTCTAGCTGGTACAGATTAAGAGTTCTTTGTATTTTAAAAAAACGACATTGCTAGTCCCAGACTGGCCCATTGCTTACAGCTTTTTCTTTGGATCACTTATGCTTCCTCAAAACTTCTGCTGATTCTGCTCTGAACTTCCTGCTCTCATGTAATTCATGCTGTAGCCTACAATAGCTCCTGAAGACAGTCTTTAAAAGGAATGTATACAGTGCCCAGTATAGTGGGTGCATGTTTTCTTTCCTCTGTCTTCGGTTTCTGTGAATTACTGTGACAATGAAAATCGATAGCTGTAGGGCCATTATTTTCTCATATTACCTCTCAGCTCAGGTCCAGGCTGGAGCTATGTCACAGCCTGGACCTGAGCTGAGAGGCAGTACGAGCAGTTAATTTTTTGAGGTTTATTTTTCCCCCTGCTGTCATTGCCACTTGGGCTTTCTTTTATTGTATGGGTTCTGCCCTGAAATGCAGCTGGTCCCTAAGACTCTGGTCCTTTCTCTTAAGAGATCCCACCAGATCCCATTGAGAAACTGCACCCAGTGCAAGAGCTCTATTTACTTACCTGTGGTGAACAGTTGAACAGGTTGTTTGAAACAATATTTTTAATCAAAGCATAACTAACACAACTGATAGCATAGTATCGACTCTTTACATTTCCCCTCTACTAGTGAGCTTAATCTGCTCTAAGCCTTAAATAGGCATGAGGATAAAAAGGTTAATAATCTTTTATGATTCCTTACAGATAATGGTCACAAATAATGGAAAAACATTCCTTTACAGGAAGAAAACAACCTTAATCAAATGCTTTTTTTTAGATCCTTAGCAACTGGAGGGAAGAACGGTACCACGATGACGTTAAAGCTAGGCAAATAATGCACGAAGCCTTACAACTTCGTCTTAATTTGGTAAGAAAAACTTCTGTGGTTATCCTGATGTTATACAAAGATGTAACAGCTACTCTGGAGCAGGTGGGAAGGAGTGGGAAGTACTGTGCCAGGCTGTTGCATAGGCCAGGGCTTCCTGAGAGCTTGCAGCTGAGTCCTGCAGCTCCCAGCCTGGGCATCAGGCACCTCTACTGGGATGGGGATGTGCTGAGGCCACACAACAACATCAGCCCACTGTGCAGGCTCAGGATCAGGCCCAGTGAGGGCAGCCAGGGTCACATGCAGTGCTGGCATGGCCAGGAGGGGCCATGGGGATGGGCTCAAGCTCCTGGCTTGGTGCTCCTGGGTCAGGGTGGGATTGGCCAGGGACAGCAAGGGCCCCTCTGCCCTGTCACAAGGATGTCTCTGCTCCATTCGTGGTTGTCTCTGTTCTGTCTCTCTTGTTTCATCTAATGCCTCCTGACCGTAATGTTTGGACATTAATCATATAAAATGAATGGGAATGGCACCCTATATCTTATTTGTGCCTTTATTTTTGTGGTGCTTTCATCCTTTCAGTGTTCCTGGAACCTCAGAAGTGTATAATCTTTTTGTGGATGTTCCAGGCTGCTGCCCACTGATGTTTTATCCCCATGTAACAAGCAAGGATTTTATGGAACTGGGCAGTCAATATAGTTGAGACTTTCAGAGCTCCCAGGGAATGTAACATTTGGCTATTTAACTTCCATGTGCAATTTCAGTTGCTGTTATTTGGATACACGTATTAACTTAGAAAGTTTCCATTGAGTTCTCTAGGGTCCCACATCTCTTGAAACCTGTGTACCAGAGTTCAGGGCCACCACAGCTTGTTTAGCACAGTGCAGTAGGATTGCGGAGGCCAAATAAGGGAGCACCAAGGTAGGACTAACACTGCAGTGTTGTTCTCTTTGTGTCAGTTTGTAAGCTGCTTAGATGCAGCTGTGCAACTAGAGGGGTAACCATAGCCTTTGCACTGCTCCTGGTTCAGCTCAAGGGGACTTCGGCCAGCTGTGACAAGCTTTGGGATCACTGTGGCTGCACTTAAAGAGCAAAATGGCTCCTTCTCAGATCCAAGGCATGTTTTACAGTATCACGCTACGCTGGTAGCAATAGTGAAAAATTGTTCATAGGGTAAAATACATTTTTTAGCAGTTTTCATTTTCAATTAGTACTATATTGTTCTTCAGATCTGTTTTCTCTTTGCATTGGACATTATTGTTTAATTTTTGGGTGTGAGAAAGTGATAACTAGAAGGTTTTAATTTGACACTGTTTCAATTCTGAGAAATTTTTCACTGACTTAAATTTGTTGCATCAAACATGAAATTGGAGATACAAAACTGAAAGAGAAGTGTAATATTTTGCTTTCCTATAGCTCCTTAGGATAAGCTTTTTGCTGGGAACATGGGGTGGGTAGGAAATGTTATTTAAAGTCAGCACTTCAAGATGGCATTCAGCACACAAGAACTTGTAGGACTGGAAGGAAGTTTTATTCATAAGTAACCCATTTGATAAGGGAAGCTTGACTCTATGAGATACATGCAGAACCTTGCTATGTGCTGTGTTATTTTGCAGGTAGGTGGCATGTTTGACACTGTGCAGAGGAGTACCCAGTGGACCACGGACTGGGCACTTCTGCTCCTTCAGATAATCACTTCAGGAACTGTTGATTTGCAGACCAACAAGTATGTCTGCACTATTTAAACAAGCTAATTCATGTCCTTAGTGCTTTTAAGTTTAGGTGGCATGTATGTTATTGTTGTGTTTTTCTGACTATTACCCTACTACTGATTGAGTGCAATTTCTGTGTGCAGTGCTGGTCTTGTTTGGGGAAGTACCTCTGTTTTGGAAAGCACTGGAGCCACTATTTACACTCTTCCTTAACAAGAACACACCTGAGTGGTTCCCGAAGTTGGAGCCTGCCATTCCCAATGACTGTCTGTTAGGAGTTTGTGTTGTTTGTAGCTCTGTTGTATGTGTTGACAGTCCACCTGCATGTATATGCTGGGGCTTATGCATGCAAGCTGAGGTGTGGGTCTGTGCAGAAAGCACTGAAAAACCCAGCTTCTCTGAAGGGCTGCACTTGTGGCCTTTGCTGTATCTGTCCCTGGATCTCTTGGCAATCAGTAGTTTTCAGGGTAATACTTGTCTTTACTCCTAGTGAACTGTTCACAACCGTGCTCGATATGCTGGGTGTCCTCATCAACGGGACACTTGCCTCAGACTTGTCGAACGCTTCCCAAGGAGGGCCTGAGGAAAACAAAAGGGCTTACATGAATTTAGTGAAAAAATTAAAAGTAAGTGTTATGCCTTGTTGTTTTAAGCATTTCTTTCGAGTTGCATTGTACCTGTGTTTTAGTCCCTTTGCTTCTAGTGTGTGGGAAGGCCTCTTGTAAAAGGAGGAGAGGTTGAAACAGACCTAAGTGATAACATTGGAAAAAAGAAGAAAATAAGAATACAGGAATGTGGGGGTGGGAAGACAGATTTTCAGTGTTTTCTTCATATTAAATTGAAATTGGGGACCCTGCAAGATGCTTAGTTACTTTTATTCATGTTTGAGGCACTAAATTTGTGTTACACATTTTCTATGTTCTGTATAAACAAGAGATAAAAAGATAACTTCAATTCTACAAAAAACCCAAAACCCAGCAAAAAAAACCCAACAAACCCTTGTAAGGCCACTTGTTTAAATTTACCAGAAGTACAAGGAAATGACTCATCCAGAAACTGGACACTTTCTAATAGTGAAAGCAGTGTAGTGTGTCTCTCTCCCCTGCTCCTTGTTTGATTGATGGATTTATTTGTTCTCTAGAAAGAGCTGGGAGACAAGCGGTCGGAAAGCATTGACAAGGTTCGCCAGCTGCTCCCTTTGCCGAAGCAGACATGTGATATTATCACTTGTGAGCCAATGGGATCCTTGATAGACACCAAGGGGAACAAAATTGCAGGATTTGACTCCATTGATAAGAAACAGGCAAGAGTAAATGTTTGCTTTCATCTCAGGTTTTCCATGCTTTTTGAAGTGTAGGAAATTCAAGCAAACAGGTACAACTTGGACAGTACATGTGTCTATATGCAGTAACATGAAAGCATTGCACTTCTGCTTTAATTCAGCTTCTGGTGCACTCTCAGTCATTACTAAACCTTCAGCCACAGCGATGCAGTCTCTTTTAAAAAAACAGGCAGGCATTCCATGAGATTGGTGCCAAAAGAGGAAAACCTGGCCTGTTGGATAGTACCTTTAAAAAAAGTTGCAAATGACAGACTGTTTTTAGAATCAAATACATTTCTGTTCCAAATATTGTTGCACAGTTTTTGTTACCATGATCCATGTGAAAATCCTCAGAGTGAAACCGGGGTGGATTTAGAGGCACGTGAAGAGTTGTTACACCGCAGCCAAAAGGGTTTGAGCATCCTCGTGTGACTGGGACCATGCACCAGCATCACCACCCCTGCAGCAGAACTGGAATCATCCCATCATCCCACTCTCCCGGACAACTCACTGCAGAGTCTTGGAGCTTTAGATAGATGATGTGCATCTTTATTGGAAACAGTTCTATGTCACTTGTACAAATTCAAGAGTTTGGATAACCTTTTACTTTCTGATTTGTTTAAACTTCAGTCATTACATTTGCTGCATGCCCACCCTTGTTATATCTTCAGAGTACGCAGTCAATTTGCAACTGCTAACGGGATGAGTGTTTACATAAGCTTGCTCAGTTCTACGATACAGGGTCTTCACTCATAACGCGAACTTCACAGAATTTTCCTAAAAGGAAATGACATTTGACTTGGAGTTGAAGAGCAGTAGCTCTTAAAAAAAGTATTTGTTTTTCAAGCACAGTCCTACCTTTGAGAGCTCATTTGACCAGGGAACATTTTGACCTGCTGGGAGGGAGATGGAGGGTGATTGATCCTGCTTACAAACGACAGAGGGGGGGGAAAGAAAGTGTATTAGTTGTTTTGGATTTATTTGGAATACAAAGGGATGCATAACTTTTAAAGTGAATTTATTTACAAGAGAAGAATAGAGCTTAGGATAGAGTTTTTTATTCTGCAGACTGGGTAGGTGTTTTTTGGTGATATGACGCTTAGGCTTTCTTCCCTTATTTGACTATGTAAACTTTAGTGAGGATATTCTCAAAGTAGTATTTTTTGATAGAGAATTGACTTCTCATTCAAAATATGATAACAGAATTTGAGATTTTTAGCATAGCTATAAGCAAATGGTACTATAGTGGCAGGCTTGGATAGAGGTTAAAATCCCACCCGTATGTGTTTGGTACATTTTGTGGAGGAAAAAAATCCTTACTGGATTTTTCTGACTCAAATGATACAGAAAGCATCTGCTCTAGTGTTCAGCTTTCTTAAAATATGAACTTCACTTTTATTCTGAAACAGGGTCTTCAGGTTTCAACAAAACAAAAGGTGTCCCCTTGGGATTTATTTGAAGGTCACAAAAATCCTGCTCCTCTCTCCTGGGCATGGTTTGGTACAGTTCGTGTCGACAGGAAAGTGATCAAATATGAGGAGCAGCAGCATCTCCTCCTGTACCACATGCACAACAAACCCAAGCCACGGAGTTACTACCTCGAGCCCTTACCCCTTCCTCCAGAGGAGGAGGAGGAGGAAGAGCCCACCACACCTGTGTCTCAGGAACCAGAAAGAAAGTCAGGAGAGTTCTCTGATCAGGGAAAACATGCCATGGATGACGAGAAGAAGGCAAAGAGCAGGAAGCGAAAGTCAAAGTCAAGCTCAAGGGCTGATGTAAGTTGTTGGTGCCCCATACAAAACTTGAATATCTCACTGAAGCATGTGATGCTGCATTGTGCTGTCCTAGCTGCCTTCAAAAATTACTCTGCACCGAGAGCAGAGAGTCGCGATAAAGGGAACAAATGAAATGGTCAAGAGGAGGGTGGATTCCTATCAAATATAGCTTAGGGTAGAAGTGTAATATGTTTAGGACATTACGTGCTGTGTAAAATATGCTAGACTGGATCTTACTAAATATTATTTAGGTTCTGTGTATGCTTTCATTTGGTGTAAAGTACAGCTGTTACTGTTCGTATCCATTTCTAAAATTCCTCCTGTTCAAATTACATTGAGAACAAACATGTTAGTTTAAACCCTGGTCCCATTCAAACATAAGCTGATTTGAAAGAGGTTCTTTCACACAGATAAACTGGTTTACTCTGCAGTTTGTTCTGATTTCTGAGATACTTTCTGTTTTAGTTTTTATTGGGTTTTGAGGTGTGGGTTCCTAAGCTGAAGAATCATTAGAGCAAAGGTTTGAAAAACATCCCTGGCACCACCCAAATAATAATGTGCGTTTCCAGAAGCAGCATTCTGTGCAATTACATCTTCACGGTGCTGCCAGCATTTATACATGCTGTAGATGTGATAGTGTTCTGTCAGCATCCAGCTGGTTTGCCTACACGTTGCATTTTCAGTAGCTATAATTTTAAGATCATTTTCTGACCTTTTTGATGTTTCAGTTCTTGTAATTTCTATGCTGATATAGTAAGAAGTCCTTGTGGTATACCTGATTATAGCCTACAGAAAATACTTGCTAATAAGGTAAAAATGGATGGTGTGTGCATGAAGTTGTTCATGTTAATTACCTGTGGGCAGCCTGAGACTTAATCTGGTTTTTACATCATTGCAAATGACAATGGGAACTGTCTCTGTCCTTTAATAATTTAGTAGGAAAATTGGCATTATTTATGAGTTAGTAAGGTATGAATGTCAGTAACATTCACTTTTGCTGTATATTTTAAGGAATATCCCCAGAACAACTTATACAGAGTGCCTCCCACCTATTCCCCAGTCTCCTCTCAAGTGATGCATCCTCCGCAGGCTGCCTTGTGGGGTTACAGTATCATGGGCCAGCCACAGCAGCCGGGCTTCTTTGTGCAGAACCAGCCCCTCCCACCAGGTATGGGTAAACTTTGTATTCACAAACGTGTGGCTTGGTGTATGTGGCAGAAGTTGGCTTCTTATAATCACATTTTGTCTCTGACTTTCCCTGAAGTCGGCTGTGTCTGCTGAGGCCATTTATTTCATTCTTTAGTTAGCCCTTTTATTTTTTTAGGGCTTTCTGTTATCAGTTGTAGGTCTATCTCAATTAAGCTATTAAACTTTTTTGCTAGATAAGCAAAAGTGACCCACTGTGGTGATAGTATAAGAAAGCTGGTAGAAGTTCAGTAAGGAGTCAAATAGGAGAGGGATGATTAAAAAGAAAGAATAACCTTTGGGGGTTATTTCTTCTTTGATTCATGTCAGGAACTATGGGGGCTAATTTGGCATCTACTGTATGGAATAAATAAATCCACGGGCTCACATTTTTTTCAACATTTGTGCTTGTGATATGTGCGTAATTTTTTTGTAGGATTGTTTTGTTTCTTACAGTTAATATGCATACAGTTTAACATAGGTATTTTACTTTCTCTAGGGGGCAGCAGTTTATGATGTTCTGAGAGGTCCAATGGTGTCCTTGTCCGATAGTTTTCAGGAGAATTTTAGAAGTTTGGTTCCAATTATAAATGTTAACTATTTTTTTCTGAAGCTCCCAGTACAACTAGATTTGTATTTTAAGTGTGTAAAAGTCTTCAGAATATACCAGACTGTGTCTAAAAAGTTTAAGGAGATGATGATATTGAAAACAAACACACAAAATCACCTTCATAAGTCTGACATAGATACATGATTTTTATCAAATAGCATAGAGTGCATAAATTACTGCCATCTCATTATAAAATTGGCGTGACATAAGCTGCTCATATCGTGCTTTTGATCTGACATGCAACTTCCGTTCATCAGTAGTAAGCACACATTTTATGTGACATAGAACATGCAACAGCCTTTTCACTTTTCTCTCTCATTTACAAGTGACAGTCTTCAAAGTTATTTTGCTTGTTTCATTTTTCAGGCCAGTAATCTGGTTTAATCTAGTTCACTGTCTGCCTTTACAGGGATAAGTTTATCATCTTTATTGTAGAGCTAACCAAATAGGAGCTGATGAATTAGCAGTGATCTGTACCAACAACACTCTCACGGAAGGCAGAGAACGCATTTATGTTTTGGGTGGTTTTAGGTGGTTCCAGGCTGGATCCGACAGGCTCCTTTGTTCCAACTAATACGAAGCAAGCCCTGTCGAACATGCTGCAGCGGCGCTCTGGCACCATGATGCAGCCCCCCTCTATCCATGCAATCACGCCTCAGCAGCAGTTGCTCCAGATGAAACTCCTGCAGCAAGAGCAGCAGCAGCAGCGGCTCCTCAGGCAGCAAGCACAGTCACGGTCTCTCCAACAGGTTTGTCCAAACACCTAACTCTGAAGAACAACACAGTGTTTCTGCCTTCCATCGGGGCTGCTTGCTCTGCATAGGCTTACAGAGCAGGGAGCCAGTGGTATTGACAATTAGAATAATTCCCCAAATATTGCTTAACCAGGGCCATTTGCTTTGAAACTTCATCTGCCCTTTGGTCTCTTAGTCTGTTCTATTTTTCCTGTGTTTCGTAACATCAGGTTTTCTTCTGCTACTTGATGGTATTCTTGTTCCCTGTTGTGTTGCAGAGGCCTTCCTAGTGGAATTGCATGGTGCTGTGTACAACCAAGCTATGCATAAGCAGCAGGGGCCCAGCAATGCTCCTCACAATTAAAAACCCAGGAAGTCCATCAGGAGCTGTGTCCGTACACGTGTGCACACAGACACTCTTGTGTTCTCTAGAAATAGCTGGTATTTCTTCTAACGTTTTTACAGAGTACAGCTGCTGTGTGCCAAACCACACACGGCTGTTGTGCAACACCCGTCAGAGCCTCAACGAATTTTCAGAGCATTGCTGCAGATAGGCTGCTTTAGAACAGATGGTGTAAGAACAGAAAATTGGTTTTGGATCCCAGATAAACAGCAGTATGTGTACAGTAGTTGGTGGTAAAACCAGTAACTTTTCTTCTTTATTTTAAAGTCCTTCTGTACGCATTCTTACCCTCACTGAGTGTATATTATATCGCTCTTACACTATCTTGTCTTCAAACTCTGTTTAACTTCAAAATAGTAAAAATTTTCAGCAAGTCTTCTTATAATTTCTCCCATACTGTCTCTGTTTTGTTCCAGCTCTTTCCTTATCCTTCTCACCCCTCTTTCAGTCTCTCTGCAAAGCCCTCTGTGGTGCTTAAATTGCTGATGGGCTATAGCAGTTTTATAGAGGACTGTTCATAATTGTGAAACCAGGATTTTCTCATTTCAAAGAACCCTCCCCCCTCCAAGCTCCAGATGTGTGTTTTGTCATATCAGTGGTACAGTGGATATTTGATCACTCATTAGTGTCTTGTGGGCCCTACGAGGTACTCAGGATTAGGTACCCTACATGTTAGGCTACTGGGCTTTGTGGTGAGCCATTGCTTCTTATTTAATAGAAACCCTGTGGTATTTTTCCATTAGGCAATATCTCACTATTTTACTGTTAGGTCCAACTAGCTTTCAATTACTATGATAGAATACAGGTTTCAATGACAGCCTTGAGTAAACAAATGATGATCACTACCTATGGCTAGGGAATCAAAAAGTAGTAACTGAAGATCTAAAATAACACATCATTTTCACATTTAAGAAGTGCTGTTGTTTAACATTATGATGTTTAGAGGAAAAAGGATGTTGCATTTCCCTTTTGGTTTAAAATGGGAATAGTATCTGAAGTGTTAAGAACACCAGTTAATTTCTGCTCTGAAGCGTGGCATAGACAGGTTGTCAGTAGGGAGAATAAACTTACCATGAAGACATGCATCCATGCCTAAATAAGATTAATAAGGTTTCTGTGATGATTTTTTTCATAAAATTTGGATCAAACTGTTAGAATGTAACAGAAAAAAATTAAAAGTTGCACTAAAATTCAACAGTATAGGTTCAGATGCCTGTTTCACCTGAGGTGTGACATGTGCTGGATGTTCATCAGTCAACGGTTCTGTATCAGCTGTGTTTTTATTTCAGCCATAAAACAGCTACAAGTTAAACAATGTAAACGAAGTCAAACCAGAGCTATCCAAACCCCAACTTTGTTTCCCAGTTACTTCCACATAGTGGCATAGTTGTCTGTTGTGGTCTGCTGGAGACAGGTGGACACACCATTTTCTCTCTGCTTCTAACATTTTGCCTTATTGGATGTTTGGGAAGATTCATTCAACCTGATATGTGAAAACTATCACTGTAGTGAAATGAATGAACATTCCACCAGGCTGGCCTGTTTGCTTTCTTTGTTGTTGAAGCCTGTGCTGGCAATGCTGACATGAGAGAACCCCTCCGACGTCCCAGTGGCCCAGGGCTCTGCATGCTCCCTGCAGTGGGGGCTGCCTCAGAGGGATGCGTGCATGGTGCTTTAGGTCAGAAACGCATCCCTGGGGAGCTTGCGATAGTTCTTCCTGTGGCCCTGGATTTAGAGTAGGAAAAGCTATAGCAGTGAAGAGCCTGGAGGTCATAGTTGAAAATTTAGGAACAAGATGATTTGTAAGCATTGCTACTGTTTGCTGTATGTTGTTAGGTGGAGCTTAAATAAGGAAGGTTTTTATGTTTCTGCCCCTGCAGAATGAAATTACCTACTCAGCTTGAAGTCACTAGCAAGGGCCTGGACAGTTCTGCAAAACCAGTGCAGAAGGATTCTGCTCCTCAGTGCTGTGCTGCACTTGCTGTGCTCTTGAAAATAAATAGCTGTGGTGCCAGATCTTTAAGAACTAGGACTTGTTAAAAAAAATGCTGAGTATTGTGTATAGCGCTATTAATAGGCTCCTGTGGATGAGGAGTCCTTCTACATTTAGAGTTTCTGTTCATAAATTTAATAAAGGTATTGAGCATAAAAACCACCTAAAAGAACCTTGTTGGCATTCCTAAATGCCAGTCCTAAACAGCATTTTGAGTACATACAGGTGAACTCTGTAAAGGTGCTGTACTGCTCCACTAACAGACCAAGCCTAACTGTACATATTCTTTGTATTGTTTGCTATTTTCTCGCCTGTCCTTTTCTTTAGGATGTCTGTAGCACTGCTGTATCCCTTCAGGATGGCTTTGACAACATAATGGTAACTGCCTTGAGACCGTGAACTTCTCCTTATTTTTTCTTTTGCACAGACATGCGTGCATTTCAACACACAGGCTGCACACTTTGCTTTTGGTACGAATGATACGCTTTGGCACTCCTCTCACCTAGGTAATGCGGTGCCTGCATGTGGAAGGCTGTGAATAATACACTTGCACACACAGAATATTTTTTTCTTATAAATATTTCCAATAACTGCATCATTGCTAATTTTTTTTCCTCTTCTGTTGTGTTTCTCCCTGTGAAAGATTGGAAATAGCTGCAAGATCTATCTGATGCCATGTTCATCTAAGCATGGCTGGTGTGGTCGTCTTGCCCTCATCTCCAAAACAAGTAACAGTTAGCACCTGTTAAATTATTAGATTTCATAGAATTCAGTCATTTCTGGGGAAAACCAACGATGCCATGAAGTTTAATCCCTGAAACCTGTGTTGGAAAGCTTTGTAGATACTGATTAGAAAACCTGTTTCAAAGTTAGTTTGCAGGACTTTCATCCTTTTTTAGGGAAACCACAATGTTGTTAAAAGCACTAATTGGAAAGACAAAGCAGTGTTTTTAAAAAGGCTTTGCTGCTTACCCCAGAGTTCGTATTTTGTGTGTGTGCAATTATTCCTGTTATTACTGGTAGCATGTCAGAACAGGGTATAGCTCACCATATTTGCAGTTAATTAGGCACACTTAGATATGCAGCAAATACACAGTGAGATCTCTCAAATCCATCATCATCATCTTACCTAAATAACTGTTAGTGTTCCACTATCTACTTCTGAAGTGAGATGTGGTCAGATTTTGGTCAAAGTCAGTGCCATGTCTGCTTCTATTGCCTTTGCCAGTCCCAGCACCACGCAGAAAACAAAATTCCTTCCAGATACACGGTAGTCACATACTTTAACAAGAAGTAAGTTTTGCTTCAATTTAGGATGCGAGTGGAACAAAGAACAGTGGCTATTACTGTAACATTGCATTGGCATTGAATAAAACATGTTTGGGTTTTGTCTCCTTTTCTGTTTGTTTTGTTGTTGTTTTTTTTTTCTGTTTAGTTTTTGTGTGACACGTATGCACAGTTCTGGCTTGCAGCAATTGGCCTGCATGTGTAGTTAACACGTTATTAAATTATGCCTGGAGGGAGAAGTCCCTTTGAATTTAGCAATATCTGCTGCTGCTGCTGCTCAGGAATGCAGAGCTCCCACAACACAGGAGCATGCTCAGTGGCCATTTGTGACCATGGAATAAATTGATCTGTCCCCTATCTGATGAGCAGCTTTCTGCTTACATTTCACATGTGGTGGTGTGCGTGTGCTTGTCTGGCCTGGGCAGTGGTGCCTTCAGTCGGGGTGTGCTGCTCTTGAGCCTCGCACCCCACTGGCTCTGCTGCTCTGCCCGTGCTTTACATAGTGGAGAAGAGATGGCTGGTGACACTCGCCTGTGGCTTCCTGCCCACTGTGTGTCGTGAGGATCGTGCAGCTGCTTCTTCAGTATTTTCCTATAGAATGAAGGACTAATCTGATTTCCACTGTTGTAACTTCCTCTGACTTTGGAGGGACACTGTTCCCACTGTGTGGGTATAAGCAAACAAATTTTGCTCCTGGGCACACCAGGGTACCTGTTGCTGAGAGAACCAAAGAACAGTGCATGGAGCAGCACTTTGCAGACCAGCTTCTGCAGAGCACACAGGGCGATTTGTATTTCTCTGGGGAAAAGTTTAAGGCACACATTATTTTAGAAATCAGTCATGGTTTTACCAGATTTCACCTTTGGGTGACTTCAAGTTACATCTTTGTCTATGCTGTGTTTGGCACCTCATGAAAAAGTTTCATCTTCAATTTGCTCTGAGAAATTATTGTTCTTTTTTTGTTTATTTTTCTTCCTTTGCCTCTGTTTAAAAAAAAAATTAATCTGATATACTTGAGTACCTTCCCCTGTGCTTGCTGTCATCTGTTTTATGTGCATCCCATCTGCAAGATGTACATTCTGTTCAGTGTTCCAGTTTTCCACCCATCAGCTTGCTGTTTTGAGAGTTTCCCATCTGATTTTGCAGATATTTTTCCAGATAAACTTTTTTCAGGACTGATGGATGTTACTCTGTTCACACCTCCTGTAGTCCCGAATTTGTTTTTTTAGAATTTTCTACGAGAATTGGCTTGTTTTTAAAACAAATCTGTTGTGTGCTTATGCTTCCTTAATATAGCTTGTAGTATCAGAGCTCTCTGCTCTCTTGTCTGCACCTTAGGGACCCCTGTAGTGGGGGTCCGAGAACCTAGCTAGGTCAGTCTTCTTTTTGTTTGTTTTTAAAATAAAGGTAGGTATGAAGAATGAGTGTGTGACAACCCTGTGGCACCCTATGGCAGCTTTGCTCCTGGTTTTGCATCTTGACCTCTTTTGTCTGCTCTCTAACCAAAACACCGGGTGGTTAATCCAGCCCTGGTCACAGCAGGTCATATCTCTTGGGTTTAGATCTCTGTAAGGATGTCCTGATTAAAATAGTAGAGGCTTTGTTAGAGGACTTGGATTTTTTGGCTGTTTCTGTGGTGAACTGGGAAGCTACCAGCAGGAAGGAGCATTGCTGCTTCCAGCTCATGTCTGCCACTGAGCTTTTTTGAGTAGAATGGATTTTGAAATCATGAGGTGCAGCTGTGCAGCATCACAATTTCACAGAAGATACATGGACTTGCTTGTATCCTTGCCAATTTTTCATTCACTAGTTTTTTAAAATCTTGGTCCTGAAATTAAGTCTGTAATTATTACCTTTTTTTTTCCCCCCCTCTCTTTTCTGGTGCTTCAAAACACACAAATGCAGTTAAAGATGAAATCTTCAAATGATTTTCATTAGGTACACATAAATATTTTGGCTATCTGAAATGAACAAATGAGCCTGTATGTTGCTTACAAGTTTGTTTCCAGGCTGTACTCGTTGGGAGCTGGAGATGCGTGCATTGCCCATTGATCATACTGGTATGGTCAAATTTGCAAATCGGCATTTTTCTTGCTTCGTCTGGGAGAAGGCTAGTAATCGGGTACCCCGAGAAAGATAGCAGCTGTGCTATAACAGGGTTTAGCATTCACTCTGAGCTTCCTGTATGATTTAATATACTGTCTTCAAGACAGCTAGAATATGTTTTTCCTAGTCCTTTGCAAAGCCCCATTTTAAAGAGTGCCTGTTCTGTAAATGGCTGTTTCTTCACTGCTGCAGTGTTACGGTAGTGTCAGACATCAAGCAAAAGTCAATTCTTCCATCTCCCTATGAGTAAATACAGTTCAGGAGTTTTGTAGTGAGCAGTGGTGCTCTCTTGAAGGAAATCGTCAAGCCTCTCCATGACTCTTTAGGACACAACTTGGTGGGGTTTGCACCCAGAGCTGGACTTGTCTGGGGTGTGGATGCTGTATCTGATGCATGATGTGTCTTTCAGGGTCAGCCAATGGACCAAGCTGCTATTTTCTCTCCACAAGTTCGACCCCCGTCTCAGCTTTCACAGTACCCAGGGTTACAGCACGCTCAGGTACTGCATTACTCCCATGGCATATCTGCATGAAAACACTTTTAAACTAAGCTCCTTTACCTCCCAGCATGCTCTTCTATGCCTGGGACATGCCTCTTGCATGTGGTCTAGAGTAATGATGAGGCCTTCTGCTAGGAGGCCTCCTGCTAGGATGCTTGTGATCTCTGTCAATACTTTTAATGTAGTGACTTGCCAGTTTTCCTAATGTTGTTGCTGGTAAAGGCAAGCGTATTTCAGCATTAGGCCTTATATATGGCAAGTTATTTGTGAGATAGTGATACCAGTAATTCTTTATTATGTCACAGTCATAGAATAGTAGAATGGTTTGGGGTGGAAAGGACCTTAATATCATCTAATGCAAACCTGCCTGCCATGGGCAGGGACATCTCACACGAAACCATGGCACCGTACTCATTACTGGTTTCCAGCCCAACATTGAGCCATTGACCACAACTCTTTGCGTGCAGCCATCCAGCCAGTTCTTTATCCACCGGGTGGTCTATCCATCAAATTGATGTCTCTCTAATTTAGAGACAAGGATGTCATGTGGGACAGTGTCAAACGCTTTGCACAAGTCCAGGTAGATGGTGTCAGCTGTGCTACCCCTGTCCATCAGTTTCGTAGCCCCATCATAGAAGGCCACCAAATTGGTCAGGCAGGATTTGCCCCTAGTAAAGCCATGTTAGCTGTCACCAGCCACCTCATTGTTTTTCATGTGCCCTCCCATGGTTTCCAGGAGAATCTGCTCCATGATCGTGCCTGGCACAGGGGTGAGGCTGACTGGGCTGTAGTTTTCCTGGGTATTCCATTTTCCCCTTCTTGAAAATGGGGTTATATTTCCCTTTTTCCAGTCATTGGGAACTTCACCTGAGTGCCATGATTTTTCAAATATGATGGATAGAGGCTTTGCAACTTCATTCGCCAGTTTCCTCAGGACCCACAGATGGATTTCATCAGGACCCATGGACTTGTGCACATTCAGTTTCCTAAGACGATCTTAAACCTGATCCTCTCCTACAGTGGGTCTAAGGTCTTCATTCTCCTAGTCCCTGTATTTGCCTTCCAAGACTTGAATGGCATGGTCAGAGCACTTGCCAGGGAAGACTGAGGCAAAGAAGTCATTGAGAACCTCAGCCTTCGCCAAATCCAGGGTAGCCAGTTCTCCCAATAGCTTCTGGAGAGGGCCCACATTATTCCTAGTCTGTCTTTCGTTAGCAACATACCTACAGAATCCCTTCCTGTTATCTCTGACATCCCTGGCCAGACTAATTTCTAACTGAGCTTTAGCTTTCTTGACCTGGTCCGTAGCTTCCCAGGCAACATCCCTGTATTCTTCCAGGCTGTCTGTCCTCACTTCCACCTTCTATAAGCTTCCTTTTTCTTCTGAGCTTTCTCAGCAGCTCCTTATCCATCCATGAAGGCCTCCTGGCCTTCTTGCCCCATTTTCTTCTTGTCAAGATGCAATGCTTCTGAACTTGCAGCAGGTGATCCTTGAATATCAACCAGCAGTCTTGAGCACTCCTGCCCTCTAGGGCTTTATCCTGTGGAACCTTACTGAGCAGGTTCCCGAAGAGGCCAAAGTCTGCTCTCTTGAAGTCCAGGGCAGTGAGCTTGCTGCATGCCCTTCTCACTGCTCTGAGGATCTTGAACTCCACCATCTCGTGATCACTGCAGCCAGGGCTGCTCTGGAGTGTCACGTTCCCCACGAGCTCCCCCCTGTCAGTGAGCACGAGGTCAAGCATAGCACCTCTCCTTGTCAGCTCCTCTATTATTTGCAAGAGGAGGTTGTTTTCCACACAACCGAGGAACCTCCTGGGTTACTTGTGCTGGACTGTACGATACCTCCGATAGATACTGGAGTGGTTGAAGTCCCCCATGAGGACAAGGGCCTGCAAGCATGAAGCTGCTCATATCTGTCTTAGAGGGCTTCATTCACATAGTCTTCCTAATCAGAAGTCCTGTACTAAACATCCTCAGTAATGCCCCCATCACAGTTCTTCCTTTGACCCTGCCCCCCAAACTCTCTGTTGACTCATCACCTCTCCCCAGATAGAGGTCCATACTCTCCAGCCTATCATTGACATAAATTGCTACATCCCCTTCCCATCTGCCTGTCTTTCCTAAAGAGCCTATAACCTTCCATTCCAGCACTCCAGTCATAGGAGCCATCCCACCATGTTTCTGTGACGCCAGTGATATCATATCCCTGTAGACGTGCATGCATTTCGAATTTCACTTGTTTATTCTCCATACTACATGCGTTTGTATGCAGCCATATGATACACCTGGTATAGAGGTCATTTGGGGATGGGAAATGGAGAGAGAGGTGGGGCTGTGGAGCAGAACCCCACTTCTGCTCAGTGCCGCTCGGGGAAGGGTAGCACCGTGTGGGTTCCATCCTGCGGTGTGTGACCACATTGTAGCTGCCTGAACCCACAAACGGAAGTGGGGTACAGCCAGAGTGAGGGACCCACAGGTCAGTTTGTGGGTGCAGCAGTGCATCTCACTGACTTGCCTCCAGTTGTCAAGGCTTTGGTACTTTGAGAAGGCCCAGGATGGTCTCTTTGTTTAGTAGTTAGGCTAATTTAAATAGGGGCACAGCGAAGTCACTCTCCTGTCTGTCTCCCTCCAGAGCATGCCTCATGGATACACCATGTACAGCACTCAGATGCCTTTGCAGCAGCAGCAGCCTGGCGGTGTAGTGCTCTCCCCCAGCTACAACCCCCGAACGTACTCAGCAGCGCATTCCAGCCCCACTCTGATGGAGAGGCTGCGGCAGATGCAGCAGCAGCCCAGCGGATACATCCAACAGCAGGCAGCTGCTTATGTCCAGCCTTTGGCAGGCTCGCAGCGGTGAGCTTCTGCAGTTCTCCCAGCTGGTAACACTGCAGGATTTTAATGGCAACTTTCTTTTGAGGTCTAAAGCTTTATTTAAAATAAAGTGTATTAATCCAAATGAAGTTAACGTTGGTCTGATTAGCAGGAAATAGGCCTTTCTCTCCAATTTCCCCTTGTTTTTTCCCTCATTTAATTTTAAGTTGGTCTTGGCACATGTTGTAGCCCAATTGTCCTGTGTAGAACATAAAAATTTATCTAAAATTAGCTGTTGGATCCTATTTCATTACACACACAAATATGGTATCCATATTATGCTAACGTGTGTGGTATTACACCATAACTATTGCAGGTTTACCAAAGGGTCTGTAGTCAGGAAAACGTAAGAACAACTTAGTTTAACTAGCAATAGATAAATGAATTTTGTTTAAGCCTGAATAGACTAAATTGATTTCAGTTTGGAAGTAGCTGAGTTGCAGTGCCTATGAGAAACAGGAAAAAATTATTGGTAAAGAAATGTAATGAAAGAGAAGACAAATGAAGCAGGAAAAATCTGTAAAAGGGAGTGTTACAGAATAAGCAGAGTGGAAAACTGGAGTTTCCAATTGCAATCTTCAATCAAGTATGTTGTTTGTTGTTGTTTTTTCTAACGGTCTGGCATTGTTGAACTGACACTACAGGTCTGAACCAGAAATTTCCATTTTGAATAGACATGTTCAATAGAGTGACTCCCAGAAACCACAGGCTCAAATTAAAGAGAGTGGGGTGTGTGTGTGTGTGTGAACAGTTAAAATTTGCAAGGTCTGCCTCAGTAGGCACTGTCCAGCTGTAGGTGAAGTAGCAGCTGTGCAGTGCAGCCCTCTCCCCATGTGTGGGTCACAGGTTCACTGAACTGCACTATGAGCAGCACATAGATGTTGGTCATCAGAAGGTGGTCTGGCCTATCAGCAGAGCTTCTGTCCTGTCTCCCTTCTTCTGTGCCATTCATTCTGCAGTACCCCTGATGTTACCAAGTACAGATACTCTTCTTTTTCTGCTTCAGCTCTAATCTGATCCCAAAACTAAAGTCTCCTTTAGATGCTAAGTTCAAGTGTGCTTGGATGATTTGCTCATCAATTGCTTGTTGTAAGCAGAATATGAGCATCAGGTATGTAGCTATGCAATACTCTCACAATCCTTGTTATTTAATGAAATCAGTGTTTCTGGAATTGTGAGTGTTACTGTATATTCTGCAGTAATCCTTAACTTATTTTAAGTTCTTGCAAGCCTGGATATCTTAAGAGTATGTTCAATTCGGGGTATTTGTACCTCTTTAAAAAGTTTGGCCTTGACTTGTTTGAAAACCTTGTATGAAAACCTACAGAAAGCTTTGGTTGAAAGCCTTGCATGAAAACCTACAGGTGCCTTGCATTAGGAATACAGCTGCTAACCTGAGCTGCCTTCTCTTTTCTGAGTTTTAAACAGGCAAGATAAATTGCAAGCTAGCTAACGTGTTCTCTCCGTGTATGTCTTTCTGCTTTGTCAATGTTAATTACTCCCAAAAGATCCAAAGAAAGTATTTTCTGCTTGGTATGTTTTTTCAGGATTTTAGAAAGTAAAAAGACCACCTTGTGATGACTGATTTTAAATTCATGATAATGTAACTATGAGATATTTTAGTCTGGAGAACATTTTAATGCTTATGTGGAATTCTTGCTTTAAATGTAGAAAGTCATTGCTCTCCCTAGTAAAGCAAGAATTGAGTGCTTGGATCTGTTCTTGTTTAGAGGAACATGTTATTATGTAAATCAGTAATTGAGCAATAGCATGGTACAGTTTCTGTTACGGAATATTGTTCAAAGCATTCAGATTTGGAAATACATCTTGTAAAATGTAGTGTCTTTTAGATCCATGGAAGTCTAATGTTGCAGTTTATAGTTGAGTACTCCTAGACTAACTTGTGTTTGGTCTGTAAATGAAGTATAATCCATTATATTTTTCCTCAATCAGATTGAGCCATCAGCCTTTGCAGCCAAATTCACTGGTTGGAGGGGTACTGGACAGTGCAATGACCGCAAGTCCTCATCCAACCCTGAATTCAGTACAGCTGCCTCCGGAGCCAGTGAGACAGAGACAGCAGCAAATGCGACAGCAGAGAATATTTCAGGTGAGGGATTTGGCTGCACTGGTGGTAAGGGGTGTTTCAGTGCAGGAGGGGAGTGTAAATGTTACTGTATCAGGTGACAGTGTTACACACTTGCACATGCCTTTAAGTCTAAACGCATCAGAGCCTGGTGCCGTAAATCATAGAGTCATAGAACTTTTACTTGAGTACAGCTATTACTGTACTGCATTGTACTTGAGTACAGTTATTACTGGCTGCATTGTTTACATTCGGAATTTCCAAAAGAGAATTCTGGACAGATGTAAAATTCAGTACTTTCATTTTTCAAGATTGTAGAATGCCTTTGGAGAAGGTAAATTTGAGAATGGCTTAGCTGAATGTGCTGAGACAAAAGCAGTGGCTGTGCTATCTGGCCTTATAATGTATGCTGATTAAACCAAAGGGTTTGCTTCCTGGCCTGTTTCCTATATTCTGATTTGCTGATACCTTTTTAATTCAGAAGCAAGTATCAGTTTATCGCCTAAATATATAGGGCTTGGCACAGGGGAAGTATGTTACATTAAAAATCCTTCCCGTAGCCCTTTGATTAGGTTCATGTTGTCATTTAAATGCAATAGCTGTCTGTGCCAGTTCTTGTCCAATGATAATGTACTTTATATAAATATTTTTGTGTTGTAGTAAACTAAATATACCAGGGTTTGAGTATTCTGATGGGTTTTTCTTTTCTATTAACAAAGCTCCTTGTCAGCCTTGGTGTGGCTGACAATGAAAGTGGGGAGCTGTGAGGCTGATCTCCTAAATGGGGCCTTCAGTAGTCAATGCTGTAAGCGAGCCAAGATCTTGTGCTGGAAATCAATCATGAAAAGCCACACTGCCTGGCTCGTAGTTGTTCCCTGAGGCAGTGTGTGTGCTGGGTCATTCTTGTTTCAGTCATAGCATTATAGATTAGTATGGGTTGGAAGGGACCTTAAAAAATTTCTTCCTCACATCCATCCTGAATCTCCCCTCTTTTAGTTTAAAACTATCACCCCTCATTCTATTGCAACAGGCCCTGCTAAGAAGTCTCTCCCAATATTTCTTATTTTTATGATTTTTCAATGTCTGTTGTCTCTCAGTTGCAGCAGCAGCCAGGGCAGCAGCAGGCACTTGGTCTCCAGCCCGTGCAACCACAGCAGCCTTTGGTAAGCAGAGGCAACTGATATTTTGGGGGGTGCAAGGGCAGTGGCAGGGTGGGGTTTGTCACTTACAGCAGCATGGCAGCCTGGGGACTGAGGTTTGTGCAAGCTTCCTTGCACCGCTGCCTGCATGCCGGTGCTGCTGCTGTGGTGCCTGCAGTGCCATTCCTCCACTGCTCTGAAGGCAGGATGGGGGGGTGCCCAGTGCGGGTGGTGACAGGCCCGTTTTGCTGCGTCTTGAGCTGGCTGCAGGCTACAGCTGTGATAACAGTGTACTAGTTGGGGCTCAATAGCTTTTAGTGCATCTGGAGAGCTCCTGGCTGGCTCTGACTATGGGCTGGAGCAGACTGCATCTGTCCACAGAAAACCATGCAAGTGCATCCATCGTGCCAAAACATGGCACAAAGTGGGTTGCACATGTGCTGAGGTGTCACACTGCTGAGCTCAGATGGGGAGGCAAGTGCTGCTTTGAATGCAGGGCTTGGCAAAGAGGGCATGTGCACTGCCCTGCTCACCCGCAGGGGCTCTGCCACAGCGTGGTTGAGTTTGCTGTCCAAAGACAATCCTTCTAGGACTGGAGCACATGCTGCCTCCTGCACTGCCATGCTTCATTCACCAGTTTGGGCAAAACTGATACCAAAGTTGAGCCAACGATGACATGTTGTTTTGGTTGAAAAAAGATTTGCGTATGTGTAGGAAAAGTTCAAAAGTTTCATTTCAACATATCTTTTTTGAAGTTACACGTAGCAGTATTGACTTAAACCTAGTCAATACTGGTGGCTAATGTCCCAGACGATCCAGATAACCATACAGGTATCCACTGCAGTTCTTATGAGAGATACCTGGGGATATAGGAAAAAAAAAAAAAAAAGGATACTGATGTGTTTCTAATTCTGTGTGTCTCTTTCATCACCAGTAAAATAAGACTGTCCAGGCTAACTACCTTAAATCTATTTGTGTGAACTCAGAGCGGAAAACAATGAGAGCCCTTAAAGTCATCCTCGGTCTTACTCCTAGTGCAGCATAAATAAAGGACTGTTTTGAAAATCTGATACAGAACCAAGTGCTGTTCAGCCCCCCTGGAAAGTCAGGAATCTCTTTTTCTGGGGGTTTGGTGACACTTTTCAGTAGTCCCAAAGCAGCAGGCCAAGACTGCAGGAACGATTTCTTCCCTTTATGCTTGCTGTGCTATGTGGTTTTATAAGTTATCCTAATAAATATATCATCATAATAATGAATAGCCCTTGCTAACTAAAAAACCTTAAACTTGGTAAGAAATACCTGTAGTTGCTTCTGATGCATATAAACTGATGGATTTTTCTGTAGTTGTGATATTTTGAAGTGAAACCAAGGCAGTTGTCTACAACTGAGGCTACGTGTCGAAGTAGTTTCTGCTGTAACACAGGGAAAAGCATTCACTTGGAAATGCAGGGTGCTGATGGTGGCATTTCTCCACGTCGCTATGTCTGGGGGAGCATCCACGCTCCCTCTGGTGTCGAGTGTGGACACTGGCAGCTCCAGTCTGGCCTTGGCTCATGTCACAGGAGATCATTAGTGACTTTGGGCTTCTGATTTTTTGGTTGTACTGCAAACAGGCTGGGGAAAAATGGGGTTTGTTGCTTGAAGATCCTTTTAAATTTAATCATTAGGCATAAAACAGAGCTGCATGAAGACAGCTGCACAAACAAAATTATGTTTGAGACACTCCTTTATGCTGAACTGGAGCCTTTTATAGTTTAATGAGTGATATTACCAATCACTGTTGGTACCAAATGATTATTATGGACATGTTCACTGAATTTACCGTGTCATTATGCTTGTTTCCTCTATTTGGGCAGTTTTTCTAGACAAATCTAAGGTAGGTGAAGATAGTTAGAGAAAGTTTGCTGTGGAAAATTGGAGAATACAGTTATGCTGAAATTGCTAGTTTCTGACTTTAAAAGCATTAATCAACAGGATGTGATAGAGAAATTTGGAGGCAGCTTGTAAGTGCAAGAAACCCTGAGGTGCTTAATGCTTTTGACTAACCTCAGCATTTACTAAGGACTGTTAGCCAGAAGATTACACAATGTAAGTAAAGGATTTGGTTTTAGAAAGGGAAAAGATGCTGAAATCTCATAAAACACTGAAACTCCCTTCAGTAAGCAAAAGGTTTCACTGAAACACAGCATGGGCGTTTGCTGTGGTGTGTATGACATTATTAGAGTATCGAATAACTCCAGTTTTATTCAACACATCAGGTTTTCACACTAGTCAGGTAATTGTGTATCCTTATGCAGAAGCATAAAATGTTACTTCATTAGAAGCATTTTTACCAAATCTGATGAGAAGGAAAATTCTGGGATGTGAAAGACAGATCTAGAGAGCTGAGAGGCCCTGGGGATTGGCAAGACAGTATGTGGTGGAGGCTTGGTCTGGTCTGTGCCTCCCAGTACAAAAGTGCCTGTAGTGGTCACGATTTCCCTCCCAGGAGCAGACAAGCACTGGGGAGCTGTGCCCTCAGCGCTCTGCCCTCTGGAGTCTGAGGTACCTGGTGCACAGACATTCTTCTTTCACATGGGTGATGTGTTTTCCAAGGGAAGAAGTGCTGGTTCAGACCCCTACCCCCAGAGGTGTCCATCCCTATGGCACACACAGATGATCTGTGTCGTGTTGATCTGTCATACCTCAGTAGTGTGGTGTGCAGTATATTCAGTGCTCTGACATACAGGTTGATGATCAATAGAAGCTGTTAATGGCGAATGAGTTTTTTCCTGAATGACAGCCAGAAGCATGGAAAGCTTACCCTTCCTCACATCTGAAGTGCCACTGCCCTGGGGAAAATGTTTTTCTAGAAGCCTCTTTTTGACTATTATGTTTCAAGTACACATAAGTGTTTAAAAATGCTAAAAAAGGCTGTTAATTTTGATTTGCAGTTTTGATTTGACTTGCCTTTGCACAGTGCAGACAGTAAAGCTGCGTAGAGTTACTGGCATCCTCAGAAGTGGAAGAGACTTTACCCAGCTGGACACATGTGACACTTGTAATACACTTGTAGTACAACTGGAAATGTGTGAGATCTCACACGTCTCGCTGTCTAAGGGAATAAAGAGAACAAATGATCTGGAAGCTCCAAGTGTGTTCCATGTGTCCTTGCTGTGCTGTTAGAAGCCAGTCAGGGCCCACTGTGGAGAAACATCTGCTGTCTGCTGCCCCATGTCCAGGGAGGGCTCAGTCAGCAGCCAATGGGTCGCACAACCTGAACTCCTCTGCAGTTATCTGACACAGAACTTAACACCGTGCCTATTTATTTCTTTTTTCATGTTTCTTTTGCAGTTTCCAAGGCAAGGCTTACAGCAGACACAGCAGCAACAACAGACAGCTGCGCTGGTCAGGCAGCTCCAGAAGCAGCTCTCCAGTACGTGAGATGCACGCTTATATAGATGTATGTAGATACATAGGTATATTTGAATGTGGAATTATCTTTCTGGAGGTGTTCTGCTTATTTAAATGCTGCTATATATATGTGTAAGAAATTTAGCTGCTGACAGCTGGTTACCCATCCCAGCAATGATGCAATACCAAAATTCTGGTGCTAGTGCATCCCACAGGCTGGTCTCCAGGGGAACTCTGGTCACCTGCAGGACAAGTGCTGGTGGCCTCATCATGATTTGCCGCATGTTTTCTCCTCTTACTTCTACAGTCCTACAACAGGCAAAGTCCCCAGGGAACTGAGCACCTCTGGTGTGTGTTAGGTGTGTAAGGGAGTGCAGTGACTGTTAAGTCAGCTACTGCTGCATGAAACACCCATGTTTTCTGTACTGCTGTGGAGCACAGCTGTGAGGCAATATCACTTCCCTTTGCTTTATCCACCAGGTAACCAGCCACAGCCAGGAGTGAACCAGTACGGGCACCCGTCACACTTCTGAGTTGGAGATGGGAGACGTAAGGCTATGTTTGCACTGAAGAACAGAACATTCAAAAGTCAATGCACTAGTTATTGCTAGAAAGCAGACTTTTGTTTTCTTCTCTTATTATTTCAATAATTATTTTTTGTGCTGCAGTTGATGTGAATATGTAACAAGGTGGGTTTGGGGGTAGAGGATTCTTTTTGCATTTAACTAGATTTAAATGTATGAATTTGTGGGCCTATTTGAAGAATGTTATTGCAGATTTTATGAATTTGGTGCTTTTTAGGTCCTATTACTTTTAAGGTGGACAAAGAATGCTGGACTTGTTTGTGGGAAACACTTCTTTTTATATATTCTTTGTTTTGGGGTTTTTGTTGCTTTTTTTTTGTTTTGTTCCCCCTTTTTTTCCCCTTTTTTTTAAAAAAAAGAACTGCACTGGACCAAACTACTGAACTGAAAGGCACTTCTGATTTTGGCATAGAAGTTAATTTGTTCATTAGAATGTTCACCTCTTTCTTTGTTGGTAGAACAAGCATCAATTTAAATTGTGTTTATTTGACTGCAGTTTTCATATGCACTTTATAAAGTTCTTTGTTTAAAGTACCAATTTTCTCTTGCTCTTATTGTGGTAAGAAGGTGCTGAAGTGGGTTTTATTGCTTGTATTAGAACTTCTTAAAGTTTATATTAAAAGCCACAGTGTAATGTTAATAAACCTACTAGAATTAGCAGTGTTTCCTATTTGGTGTTTTTAATACAAAGCTCACTGGTGATCAGTGCTAAAGGAGAGCATGGTACTGCAATGAGGACCGAACACTCAGAGCGGGTTTTGCGCAGCTCCTGCAAGGAAATCTCCGAGTTCTGGCCCAGCCTCAGAAAACAAATCCCTGTGTCTCACCCTATGCCTTCGGTACCAAACCTTGTACCAGCTTTCACAGAGGGAGGGTAGAAAAGACACCAAAGTCATATCTGCAGCCTCAGGAGTTCTGTAATTCACAGTTCTTTCCACTGAAGTTGACCCAAATGAGTCGTTACTGATACCCCTGTTCGCTGCCTTTGTTGCACAGGAAGTATGTCGAGGTATGGGCTGGAGTCTTGATTGCTGAGGGAGTTTCAGTGGTGTGAGGGTTAAGTGCTATCAGCTGAGTGCAAAACCACAATTGGAAATCAAAATTACCACAAACAAATCATTATTACTCTAAACCTGTCCAAATATAACTTTACTCATATTAGAGCTAAAAAAAACAGTATAAATGTATTAGCAAATTAGGAGTTAGGTCTATATGGGTTTTTAAAATACATTCATTCTGAAAGTGGAACATGCAGGGTATTTAGCATATACAGAGGACTATTTTGTAACTTTGTATTAACTCAATTTGGTTAATTTACCATGCAAAGAATTTATAGCTGGTACTGTAGACTGATGTTCTCTGGGGAAGGGGAGACTGCCCTGCATAGCTTCCAGGGTCCTGGCAGGCAGCGCAGCCAGGCACAGAAATCTGTAGAAAAGTAGGTTTTGGTTGGCTTTTACAGTAGTTGGGTAAGTCTTACTCATGTAAAAATTATTCATGTTCAGGTTTTGTTAAGGAGATTTACTGTTCTTCATAGTAGCTAAAGCTATTGCAGATGTTAACCAGCAAGATTTGTGTAATCCAGCTGTTTTGTGGCTACTACTCCACTACAAAACAGTGGCTTGTGTGCTGCTGCCAAGACATTGCTGCAGGCAGCTCAGGTGCTCCTAAGCACCAGAGGGGTTCATTTTGGACCCTCCTTGTAAGTGGTACCTTACTGTGTACTAGCTGGGGTTGTAGGGACAGTGGCAATGCTTCCATGGGATGCGTGGGTTTTTGCAATTACAAATTTGCAAATTTAAGGGGAAATGCTGAATTGCACGTATTTTGACCCCTCTGCCCTGACATTCATCTGTCTCTCAGGAACAAGATAAGAAACTGAGATTTAGTTACTGGCTTAATTGTCCAAAGATTTATTTGGCCAGTCAAATGATTCATTTCACCGGTCAGTGATTCATTAGTGTAGGTGTTTTCCACTCACATACAGAAGGAAAATTACACCAAGCAGGAGTGTTTCTGTACACGGTCCATATACTTCTTCTAAACAGTGCTAAACAGAGCGTATTCTCATTTAAAAATAAGAACAAAGTTGTTCTGGATATATCATTCCGAAGTTCTGCAAAAAAACCCATGTGAAACAGAGCTGTATTATTAAAAATACTTTACTACTCTTTTCATCATTGATAGTTTATTAAAAAAATACTAAATATTTTTTAAACATGAAAACTTTCTTCAAACAAAAAAACCTTTCTTCAAACACATGGAGAAAGTAACCTGTATCACAATAAAAAAATCAGCTTTTTAGTTCTCAGATACCCTTGCTTTATGTGACCCATGCTCCTGATAGTCATACAAGGTGGACAGTATGAAACTAATATGAAAAAGTCTGTCCTTTACTGAAGAACTCTAGGTATGTTTCCAGAAAGTACCTGTTTGATATTCAGTGTTTGGTGGCAGAGTAAAATGCCTTAAATCTGTTTTAATTTAAAGAACCAATTCTCAGTAGTGCTGCTAAACCTTACTTTCCTCAAGGCCTTCCTCTCTTTTTTTGCACGGTCATTGCAGACTGAATCCTGTATATGTTTTTAGGCACTTGAATGCCTATGGCTGCCTTTGACTAAACTTATTCCAGGAAGGAACTCAGTCCAGCTGTAGATTTTGTTAACACATCATTCATGAAGTATTTCTTACTTCAGAGGATGTGGACATATGTTACTGTGAAATCACTGCCAAGATGGTTCTTCGCTGTGCACTTGTATGTGCCAGAATCTGAGGGCTGGGGACTCTGGATGAGTAACGTTCCTGGAGGACGAAGCACTTTATTCTCTGATGCTTGGCCTTGGTAACCGGTAGTCACTACTGAGTGGTCAGGTAATTCCCAGGTAATTTCTGGTTTGGGTATTCCCAGTGCTGTGCAGTGGAGCTGCACAGCTGCACCAGGCATTGTGTGTATGGTCTGTGGTGGCCTGTTCATAATCCTTGGGGGATATGCTACAATAATGACAGAAATGGTTACAGAGGAATCTCCAGCATTATTATAGGCCTTGCATACGTAATTTCCTCTGTCATGAATGGTGGCTTCTCGTATAACCAATGTGCCATTTTCCAGCAGTATGTACTTCCTGTTGATCTGTGGTCGATCCAGCACGTGCCCACCTGGCAGAGTCCATGCCGTAGCTGGTTTAGGATTCCCTTCAGACAGGCAGTGAAGTGACAACGACTCCCCACTAATGCCTGTCACCGGCCTCGTGGGGTGAGTGAGAATACTGGGTTTCTGGCCAACCTCCAGGATGATCAGCTTTTCAATGTAGCCAACTTTATTCCTGGCAGCACAGCGGTACTTCCCTGCTTTGTCTCCATCAGGACTATAGATGGTAAGGGTACCGTTGCTTCCTGTGAGAAACTGGGAAGTCTTGATGCCACTGGAAAACCATGTGCCATTAGGTAACATCCAGCTTATGTCAGGTGGAGGGTTTCCATCCACAGAACAATTCAATGTGGTAGCTTTCCCAGGTTTTGCTATTATTTTTTCATTGAATGGATTTTTAAACATTGGTCGCCTTAGCATTTCCAGTACCTCCAGCTGCACCACCAGCATACTCTCCCCACCATCATTACGTGCCACACAGATAAAATCTGCCGTGTCAGAAGGCCTTATGTTCCGAATTTCAAGTGTTCCATTTTTGTGTACTACAATCCTGCTCCCATAATATGGAGCTGTTAGGAAAATATTATCAGGCATGATCCACATAATCTGAGGGGGAGGTGTCCCTTCTGCCTTACAATCAATTTGTTTCTTTGAATGCCGCACTGCCGTCACCTTCATGATTGTTTTGTTTGCATATAAACCGTTTATGACAGGCGGTTTTGCAACAACATCCAGTTTATACAGTTTCGTATCATCCCCTCCAGGGTTACGAGCCACACACATGTACTCCCCAGCATCTAACAGTTTGACTTGACTGACTGACAGAGAACCGTTGGCATGCAGGAAATGTCTGTCTGTTGATGAGGAGATCATGTCACTGGAAGGTAGCAACCAGAATATTTGGGGCTTGGGTTCCCCAGCAGCTTCGCAGTCCAGTAATGCCAGATCTCCAGCTTTCACTTTACGGTATGTCTTGTAACTGTGCTTTATCTGAGGGGCTGCCATGATGACTGCGATGTGTATCTTCATTTCATCTCTCCCCAGGGTGTTTTGAGCATAGCAGGTATAGTCTCCTCCTTCTGTTACTCCAACTTTGTTGAGATACAGTGTTCCATTGTCAAAGAGGACATACCTGCGAGACCTGCGTCCACTGTCATCTGCCAGCATTGCATTATTGATCACTGTCCCATCTGGCAAACTCCAGGATATTTCTGGTGTGGGTGACCCAGAGGCCTTGCAATCCACTCTGAAATCTTTTCCATATGGCACCAGTTTCTTGAAATACTGTTTCTGGTCAATCTTAGCTGGTTTCATTGTGATGCTGACTTTCATCAATATCAGATCATCTCCAATTTTGTTTCTTGCAACACACAAATAGTCACCTGCATCCTTTTCAGTAACTGCCTCAATAACCAAGGACCCATTGGGGTGGACGTGGATTCGACTTCCCATCCTGTTGGGGGGAGAGAAAGAGGAAAATAATTACGGAGCAAAATGCTGCAAGTAAATACTGAGCACTGACATTATTAACAGAATGACACGATGCAGATGTTCTCTCCAAAGGCACTGTGTCCCCATCACCACCTACCCAGTGGGTTCTAACCTGAGGCAGTTGCTGCTGTTGTTGCTATGTTGCTGCTTGTGTGCTTGCTGACCCTATGTAGGTGTGCAAAGCTGCACTGTGCCACCTCTGCCTTGCTGAAAAGCTGTTCTGCGAACAAATGAGCCTGTTGAACCTCACGTCCCCGATCCCACCAGCCTCTGCTCCTCTCCCTTGTTCTTCTTCCTGCGGACAACCCACAATACTTGGCCCAGCCAGGGCAGCTTGCAGTACTGCTGCATCTTGCCCAGAATGACACTCAGCACTGGGTGATGGCTTTCTGGCTGCCTGTCCAGCAGCAGGGAGCAGACCTGGACCTCATTTCTCAGCCCAGCTGCAAGTTCTTGTAAGCCTGCAAGAAGCATCCTGATCTGGGATTGTCGCTCCCAAAGCAAAGGTGCAGTGTTACTGTAGGAGGGGGCATGGGGAGAGCTACTCAAAGATTGACTTGGCAGAGTCAGCTATAGAAGCCTTTTCCTCCTGAGTCCCACTTCACAAACCTCTTATAAATAACTGTTCCTCCTATAAAATAACACCATAAAGCCAATACATGATTAACATGAGTTTCCTTAATTTAAATATGACTTGTATCCATTTTGGTAAGATCTCACCAACTTATGACAACTGATGTGACCTGTTATGTGTAGTATAACAATGTAATATATATTGTATAATATATAGTAATGTAATATAATAATGTGTAATAACAAGCCATCATCACAGATATTTCACCACTGTTAAACATTTAAAAGTGAATTTAGTTCCCAATATATTGTTTCAGTGATGTAGCAGTCTCTTAAATGAGCACCAGAGAAGACAGTGTTTGAAGTTTCCAAGAGGTGGGAGACCAAAAAACTCCTACCTGTGCCACTGGTCAACAACTGCCTTGGAAGGTAACCTCCAGATGATCCTGGGCTTTGGCTCCCCAGTCGCTGTGCAGTTCAGAAGCAACTTATCCCCAAAATTCAAGCGAGTCATTTCTTCAGATGCAGTTGCTATTTTTGGAAGTGTGTCTCTGTGTTGCACCACGAGGCTCACCACTCTCCTTTCTGAGCCAGTTGAGCTTGTGGCTATGCACTCATAATTCCCACTGTCAGAAGAGGTGATACTGCTGAGGTGGAGGGTCCCATTGGAGAACAGGAAGAGCTTTGCATTTACCAGCTGCAGGGGTTTCACCATCGTGCCATCAGTGAGGACCCAATGGACAGTGGGCTGAGGATTCCCTTCCACAGTGCAAGGGAGATTCAGATTTTCCTCCATCATTACTTCAACACGTTCTCTCTTCTCTTCTAGAATAACAGGAGGTGCTGCAATGACCTGCAGTTTTACAATCAGCTTGTCAGTGCCTGCTGGGTTTTTAGCCATGCATGTATAGAGACCCCTGTCGTAAACAGTGACTTCCTTGATAATTAAAGTGCCATCTGTTTCCATGTGAACTTTGTTATTTCCTGCCGAGGAGTCAGAGATGTGTGTTTTATTTGCTAGAACCCATGAGATGGTGGGAGGAGGCCTGCCCTCAGCTTTGCACTTCACTGCCACGGGCTTTCCAGAGTGAGCGGTGAGGAGCTGCCACCTGCTGCCAGTGATGCGGGGTGGGTAGGCCACTACCGACAAGGTGACCAGGAGCCGTGCCGCACCATGTGGGTTGGCTGCAGTGCACAGGTACTGCCCGCGGTCCTCCAGGCCCACCCGGGTGATGGAGAGTGTGCCACTGGCAAACACCATCCATCTGCTGTGGCCTCGGCTTTCTGCAGCATCGGTCCCTACAGAAGGGGACACCAGCACAGCATGTCAGAATCTCTCCTGTTTCTTTTACTCAGCCCCTGAAAACGCTTTCCCCACCTTCGTCTACTTTGCCCAAATAACCAAGGCAGTAGTGATAAGAAAGAGAGAAATAATCATACTTTGCATATAGTGACAAAGCTTTAAAGCAAACCCCAAACTTAGTCCTCAGTAGAGACAAAGTTTGGATAAAGCAGATGGGGCTTTGCATACCCAAACATACTAGCATAGTCATGACTAGGCTTTGCATATTCAAAAATATTTTGACATAGCTTTAACTTGATTTGATGGTTTGTTACCACAAATTTTTCTTTTTACTTACTGTTCTGGAATAGCCAGTAGCATATAATAAATACTGAAATCTTCTCACAGTAAGCACAGAATTATAGTTAAATGTATATTATAGATATATTTTTTTTAATTTCCATAAATAACTACTTCATCACTATTAGTGAGATACTCCAGAAGATGTCTGGGGATATCTGTCTTTGTCACTGTCTCCAAGTTCATCTTTTCACTGCTATTTCATGGTACTCTGAAATGATGCCATACTTGAGTTTGGCACATAAATCCTCTGCCAAATTACTGTAATGGAAGGTAAATTCTAGAGAGGTTTATCAAGCTTACCTGTTGATATCTTGGTCCACTGTATTGTTGGATGAGGGTTACCAGTAGCTTCACAAGGAATAAAAGCATCTGAATTAGCTAGTACAGTAAAAGCAGCTAATTTTCCTCCACTTATTCTGGGTTTTGCCAAATGGTTCCTGCTCAAAGAGTCAAAGGCTATAGGAATGGGGGTGGTGGTTTCTTGATCTTGCCTCTTTTCAGACCAACCTTTGACAGAACTGTCCTTATCACTTCCCCACAGAGGCACATGCGGAGTTGCAATCTGTGATGACTTCAGCATGGTCAGTGTGTTGATAGCCAATGTGTTGACCCTCTCTGTGACTTTAGCAGATGCCTTCTGTGAGAATTTGATTGCTCCCCACGGAGGTGAGTTGGTTCTCTCATTATGTGCAGGAGGCACAACTTGTGTGAGGGCTGGTGGTGGGGTGGGATGCTGGGTGCTGGCAGGAGTGATGTCTGTGCTTGCAGCAGGAGCACTTGACACACCTCTTGCTGGGAATGTGGGCTGTACTACTTGGTTGCCTTGGGTAACACTCTTTTCTGGTTTTGGCCATGATTGTTCACCTGCTGTTGTGGTGGCTTCAATTTGCTGAGCAGGTTCTGACCCAGCTGCCACCCAGGCTGTGACAGGCTGGGTGCTTAGGGTGCTGAAAGGCTTTGAAAGCTGTGGTGTTGTCTGGTTTGGTGTGGTGGGCCTCTGTGGTAGCATGGCTGACTGGCTGTTCCTCCACGTGACAGGGGTAGCCAGTGTCTGCATGGCTGCTGCAGGCGTAAGCTGAGGAGCGTTTGGTGTGTTAAGGATCCACAGTGCTGGCACTTCTGCCATTGAGACAGCACTCACACTCTCAGAGAGAGGTTTTGCAGGCATAAGACTTGTAGGCATAGTCAGTGATTTAACTGTTGTCATGACAGGCATGGCTGTATTCATAGGCAGAATCACTGCAGTGCCATGGCCTGCAGTCATGCTTTGTGAAGTAGATGTTATAAGGGGCCTTTTCCTCCTCTGACCTCTCTTTTTTCCCATTCTGTATGTTTTAGTTTTGGTGATTTTGATGTCAATCTGAGGGGCAATAATAGGTTGAACTGTTGGCTTCAAATGAGTTACATCCATTTCTTTGGTGGCACTAGTTGCAGGATTAGAGGAAGAATGCAGTTTTGCAGTGGGAAGATGTTCTGACTTAGCATTGTCATAATGAATGGGTTTGTTTAAAGACCAGGAACCATTGCTGTGATTCCCACCTGTTGAAGTAGGCATAAAGTGCAGAGGAGACATTCTGAACACGGATAACGATGCTGTAGTTTCAGGATGCACGGTCGATGCCTCTGTTGACGGAAACTTATCAGTCTGTTGTTTTGGTCGCTTCTTCAGCACACCATTTCCAAAGAGAAGTTCCCAACTAATTTCTCCTCTCTGGGAATTTTCTGGTGAGGTTCTAGGCTTAATGCCGGGTGAGACTGATTCAAGGGTAGAAGATACCTTAGTGCTTACAGTATATGTAGTATCTGTAGCAACACGAGTTGTGTGGGTTGCTGTTGTTGGTAGTCTGATGGTGAAAGGTTGGACTGTATCAGTCCCTGTTTGAAATGGAGCAGTGCTCTGTAATTTCCATTCAGGAGTATCTGGGGTGGCCTTCATAATGAAAGTCATGACTGTAGTATCTTTCTCCCTTTCACTAGCTTCATTTTCCTCTTTCCTGAGGAACACTGTATTTTGTTGAGTACCTGCTGGGTGCTCCAATGGCATGTTTGTGATTGAGGGGGAGGACAGAGATGCTTCTGGGCTAAATGGGTTGATGGAGCTACTTAAATTATTTAAAGTTGGTAAATTTGACATATATTTCATACTCAGTTGAACATCTGCAGCCACAGCGGTACTTCCTCTGACAGATCCTAGCCTCCCCAAATTGTATCTGTGCTCTTTCATACTTTGAATACGTCCTGGTCTAACAATTCGCCTCCTACCAGAAATTTTCCTTCGTCTTCCATATTGCTGCGGGGCCTGGGGCGTACGAGTTGTAATGTTCTGAATCATCTGAATTTGCTGATGAGTTGATTGGTTTACACCACTTGCTGATATTAGACTTAAATCAGATCTTTCCCATGACTTTGTAATTGTAGGTTTTTGATATGTTTGTGGCCTTCTGCTGTCAGATGACAGAAACTGTGAAAATGGATAGGGGAGAGGAGTTACTGCCTCTGAAACAAGGAGAGAGGTTTTAATAGCAGGAGTGTTAGTCATGATCATCTCAGGCCCTGCAGTTACTATGTTTTCTGTTGCTCTCCCCCGAGTAGATACTGGGACTGTCTCTGTTACTGGAATCATGAATTCTTCTTCTAGAGATACAAGATCACCAGATGTTTCCTCCTCAATTCCAGGTAATTCTGAGAACGTGCGGACTTCAATAGGTGGATTTGTTGCAACTTCTCCTCGATTTTCCATCGATGTTGAGTTCCTCTTTGTTTTTTCCAAAAAGGCTGCCCAGCGCTGTGGGTGGACTCTCCTGGCTGAGGAAACAAACTGTCTTCTGTGTCCTCTGAGCCGCCTGCTTATTTTGTCCCTGTAGTGCCTGAAAGTCGTGTTCCTGTAGCCATTCCTTTTATGTGCAGTCTGTGCAATCCGATTTCTGAATGCTGAGGCAGCAGATTCCTGATTAGCTGTCAAGGGAGCTAGGGTAGCTAGAGGATGTTTCTGTGTTGTAGCAGAGGCCAGCATTGCATTGCCAGAGCCATCACCCTCTTCCCATTCTCCCACAACTCTCTGCTTTTTATTCAGAGCAGTTTCATCCTTTCTAACTAGCACTTGGAAAACCAGAAGATCAACACCATACTGGTTGGCTGCAACACATCGAAAGTACCCACGGTCTTGCTCTGTTACCCCTTGTATTTTTAAAGTACCATTGTCAAAAATATGTTTGTTTCTTACAGAATGATGAAGAATCTCATGCTCAGGCAATACCCAACTAATGGAAGCATCTGGAACAGCAGTGGATGTACAGGGAAGGTAGAGTATGCTGCCAACAAATGTAGAAAGTTGGGCTCCATTTACATTGCTGTGTTCCACGTAAGGATCGACCACAGTAATTCTAAATGTGAGAGTATCTGCATCATTGTAGTTTGTGCCTATGCAGTGATAAAGCCCCGTGTCAAAAGTATCAGCTGTCCGTAATGTGAATGTTCCAGTTTTAACTACTATGATTCTCCCATCCTCACTGATATAAGGAGCTCTAACTTTGCTTCCATCAGCCAGTACCCACTCTACTGCAGGAGCTGGTTCTCCAATTGCTTGGCATTTTAGTTCTACCGTCCCCCCGACTAAAACAGTGTGCTCTGTTTGTGTTTTGTTGTCCCTGGAGATGATGGCCCAGTTATTTCTTACTCCTCTTTTGTCAGCACTGGGCAAAATAATCTCAGCATCCATAAAGTACTGGATGTACAAGGTGTTAAGTGTGGTTGCTGTCCTGTCTAGCTGTAATGCCACTTTGCTTTGCATTAACCAAGGTGGGTCAGCTCTCAGTTCAGTCTCTATATTGGTAAAAAGTTCATCTTTTTCAGAGTAGATTTGTTTATATTTGTAGCTAATAAAAGGCACATTAGTTGCTAGGGCACTCCTTTCCAGTTTTAAGGGAGAATTACTGTACAGTGCCAGTATGCTCCATAGCTGCTGAATATGCTCATAGTCAATGCCACATACCAGAAATGCTGAGAATGCTGTTTTGAGCACTGTACTGTTGCCATCTTTGTCAAATAAGATGGGAGACATTTCTTTAGGTTTTTGGATGTTGCAAACCAAGTTACCTCGGCTTCCTGCTTGGTCAGTCATGTTCAAAACCATGGATCCTATAGGAGCTATGAATTCTTTGGGAGATACAGAATTGAAATCCCCATCATCTGGTACTGTGAGGTTTTTAAATTTCAGTGAGTCATGTATAGCTGGCTTAGTGCAGGTTAAAGATGCAGAAGGAACATCCACTAAGCTTTTCCCTTCATGATTTTTGGGACTAGCACAAACTGGGCATTGCTGAGCACCGGAACTTCTGTCTTTTTTGCACTTTACAACATCTGAAGGAAAGAAAAATGCTGTAAGCTCTTGTAATACGATTTTTAGTATTAAAAACACATTTAACTAGCAGCAGGTTGTTCTCTTGAAAATTAACAAAATTAATCTTAAAGTAACCTAAGAAAACCTATGAATTTTCTCTGGTGAAACTGCCTAAGGACTGTTGCTATTGCAGCTCCATACAGAATCCTGCTGTCCCAGTTCTACATGGCGCAAGGCAGGCTCTGCTGGGGTACCTGGCCGTAGCTTGGTTCTGAGCAACACAGGCTCTGGCAGGGTGAGGGTGACATTAAGCTATCATCGTATGCAACCTCTGCTCAGAGCAGCAAATGAAAAAGTTCTTGAGTCTTGTTCCTTATTTCTGTTTGGAAAAATCAAGTACAATGTAGCCTTTATTCTTGCCAGTTACATAAAAATTAGCTTCCTTATTCCCTGTGGAGTCCCCTGGGCACAAAAGCTTTGGACTGGCCAAGGAAAGTGTTCCATTATGCTGCACTTCGGAATAGGTTAAGACCACTAGATTCATTTAATCTGGAAAACTGAATGGTATTAATCTCTTTACCCTGATTACATGCACCTGCAAAATTCCTGTCTTCCAGTCTTTTCTGGGAAAATAAACAAATGAATAAAGGACAGTTACCTTTATCAGAAAGAGCAAGATGCTATAACATGATTAAAAGCATAAACAAAGCCTGTAGCTCACCTGCTCTTGCTTTTGCCCATTCTGCAAACCATTGGAGGTTGCAATCACAGGACCATGGGTTTCCATGAAGGTAAACGCTCTCTAGCTCAGACATGTAGGAAAACATTTCTTGTTGCAGTGAAGTCAGCATGTTGTCTGACAAATATATGTGCTTCATGAAGGATATTTTAAATATTTGGCTATAGTGTAAGGTGACAAAAGTATCTGGATGAAGCTGCTTAAGAAGATTTCCTTCCAAGTGGACCAGCCTCAGTGAAGTGAGTCCATAGAAAACATAGGGATTTACAAACTCAATTTTATTGTGGTCCATATGCAGTCGTACCAAGCTCTTCAGACCATGAAAAACATCCTGCTGAAGAACTCTGACCTTGTTATAACTCATTTTTAAGACCTGTTGATGAAAAAGTAAGTGTATAATATTAACCCATGTTATACTGTTAAGACTCCTAACACATTCTAATGGATGTCAAGTGCTGTCAAGTACTTCACCACCAGTAATGGCAGCGACTGATTGGAAAAAACTTAGTAACAGAAATAAATGCAATGTTAGTTGCAGGACTAAAAGGATGCTTCTTGTTCCAACAGTCCATCAGGGTGACCTTTCTGTGGTCACATTTACAAAATTCAGTGATTAAAAAATAAAATAAAACCATGCTTGTTTCTTGTTAAAAAAAGAAAGAAAAAACATCCCCAAAAGGGGAAAAAAATTGACCATAAGCTGTGGTAGTGACTTTTGTTCCAGCCAGTGTTCCGACTATAAAAATGCACTCAAGAATCTATTTTGATTTCTGCTTAACCAACAGAATCTGCAAAGTGTCCCCCAAGTTTCGGGATTTGTGTCATCTGAGGTGTGTGCTTTCCTAACCCTAACTCTCAGGTGCCATGTTGTTGCTGGCTGGGTAAAAGTCAGAGTCGTAACTCTGACATGCACAAACCTGGCATATTGCTGAGGGATAAAATATGGTGCCCAAGACACCCTTTTTGTTATTACTTTTCCTGTTAGAGTTCTACCATTGCAGTCTGAATTCTGTATTTTGAAAACTATTGAGAAGTAAAAAAATCACAAAAATGTTCAAGTTTACTTGCCCAATATAATTCTATTAGAAGTATCTATGATAAAATGATTCTATGATTCTGTCTGTAATTGTGCTGCCATCTTCCTTGTTGATAGGGGAGGGAAAGCTTGTTGGACTCCATAAAGCTTATTTTATTAAGTTAGTTGTGAGGAATTACCAAGCAAGCTTTCAGGCACAGAGCTACCCTTTGTGAGTGCTAATGCAACCTGGAGATCTGTACGCTCCACAGCTTCTCTGGTTTCTGCCTTTCCCTCCTAATCCTATGACCAGCAACTGAGCAAATCCCAAGTTTTCTGTCGGAACAGTTCAGGTCTCTTGTGTTCTTAGTTCATCACGGCTAAAACATTGTTACTTCTCTGTAGCAGTTAACAACAGCTCTAGATGAAAGTTTAACTGGAGAATAAGTGTTGCCTGTACATTGAATTAGTTGGGAATGGCTGTTCCTAAATACTCGTCTAAGTAATTCTTTATATATGAGTATCTACATGGCACATACTGAGATAGCTTCAGAATCCCTGTATGACACCATACATTTACTGATTTCCACAATACACGTAAATATACGCAATATTTAATAAATAGGAAATATTTCAGTTAAAGAACAAAACAGGCATCAAACACTGCATTTTAGAAGTCCACAAATACATACTAAATTATAAACCCAAGGGTTTTTTAAAGGGTTTAAATGTTTATATGTAGTATGTTCAGTAGAAGCTAATTTTTAATGAAGGACAGAAAGGGACAGGGCTGTAACGTACTGAAGGGAAAGGGAAATGTGAATGGCAAAAAGTCCTCAAAAAAAGATAAAAAATTGGCTAACAGATTAACTAAATACAAGTTTCCTACCACAGATGCAGTAGTTGGAGTTCTGCAGTCTTTCTCCTTCATGTGAACAAGAGTTTAAACTGCATTTGTCCGTTAAGATACAGGTACCTACCAATATGTTTGCCACACTCTTTAAACTGTACTCGGATGCCCTCCTGGGAAGGAAAGGCATTTCCCTCATCTTTCACGTGGATACAACAAGAAATAGGAAACCAAAATGCTACATACCACTGGTCTGCTTCCATTTATCAGTATTACTGCAAACTGTTTAAGTCAGAACAAAAATTAAGATTATGTCATCTCCTAATTAAGATTAGGTCATTTAGTTCTTACCTGTAATGAATATAAATCACTGAACACCTTATCAGGGATTGTATTTATCTCATTGCTGTGCAGCATCAGTAACTCCAGTTTCTCCAGGCCAGAAAAATCTGTTTCTGTCAGTCTGAGCAAGCTGTTGTACCTGTAACAAACATTTCATCCCAGACCTAGGTTTAGTCAGACATAAAATTCACAAGTTTCAAACAAACAAAACCAAAACAAAAGAACAACTCTTTGGAAATGCATAAAGGTACACAGCACCTCTGACTGCCAAGATGAAATTATAAGCCATTCCTGAAGAGGAATAATTCATTGAAGCCAGGACTGGGCTTCAATGCAGAAGAGCTGTGAGCTTCTGTAATGGTGAAGGTTGGTGATACATTGATGCCTCTTTCAGTTGAGGGCTTTCGCAACACTACAGCACCATAGAGAGGTCCATGAACAAGAGCGAGCCTCCTCTGCTGTCCACTCAGGCCCAGGTAAAACCAGGGGTCCTGGGGTTGACCTGTCTCCTGGGACCTATGCAATGGTGGCTGGGCATCAGCTACAGTGCAGGTGGGTTCTGAAGAGTGCTTGGCAGTCCATCCCTGCACTGGCCGCATTATGCTGTCTGCCCTTTCCAGTTGTACATCTTGAGTTTTATTCCCACTCTGCAGGTATTCAGTGTTGCCCACAACTTGTTAATGCAGGTGTAGCCTCAGCCTCCCCTATTTTCCATGAGTATACATACAGTATGGATAGACTAGGCTGGATTTAAGCAGCAAGCCAAAAATGAAACAGAGCACCCTTCAGATGAGAGCTGCACTGCTATGGGAGGTTTGACCATCAGTTGTATCTAAGTCTAGACAGCCTGAGTATCGGCTGTGGTGATGCTATGCTATTCCAGCATTAGTGCAAGGTGTGTAAGCCTCGCAAATACTGAGTCCCTACTCTGTGATGCCTTTGAGTTCATGACTACTACCCCCTTGCATCACCTGATTAGCTAACGCAGGGACTGTTCTCATGGTTCGTTTACACTTCCTATGCCCTCTGGTGACAGTAAATTAGATTAAATCATCAGTCAGGTAGATGGCCCTTCTGTAATAGTAATTAATGTATTTCAGTCACATGTCCTCCTCCTAAGGTAACCCATAACCCTCTAACAGTACTTGTACTTAATTGTCAGATTTTATATACAGCATTTCTGGACAACACTGACAAAATCAATGGAAGGAAAGGGCAGAGAGGAGTCAGGAGCTGGGAGCTGGATATGTTGCCTGGAAGCATAAGGCAGATAAAGGGGAAGACTTCAACAAAAACTTCCTTTTACATTTTGTGCATACACATATTGGATGATTCGGAGGTTATACGTATCAAAAGTGATGCAAGTATGAGTCAAATATTGCTGATTAATCTCATAATTTGATTGTACTTATTGGAAACCCTGTTAACAGGTCACTGAGCCGGTACAGAATTTGTTCCCCATTCCTTTTAACCACCCATAGAACAGAACCACTTTGGAGACTTGAAACATTCAGGCAAGTGTTATTTCCCATAAAGCTGATAGATAAAAGCACAGATACCAGCACTGTGTGACATTCTAAAGTCATAGCAAAGTCTCTGAAGATTTTAACACATGTACTAGTTTTCCAGCCCACTGCCTGAACTATAATTTCGCAGAAAGAATTCTGTTTCAGACTCCTTCTGAATTCCATGTTGCAGATGCAGAATGTTTGAGTAATATAAAAGAATTCATTTAAGTTTGAAATTTTTTGAAGTCCTTACATGCCCTGTGATACATCCCCAAATTTGCACTTAGTGATTGGTGGTCTCAGGCTTTGCTAGCTGTGACTACACTTTTGAATACAGCAGAGCACTCACCTCTTAAGATTTATTTATTGCTTTGGTTCATTTTAGCCCTAAATCTAGAAACTATTAATGACTGCTTTGCACAGTGTTGAATGGTAACTGGTCTGTGCATTTAGGATCTTGATGTTAAACATACCCCAGATTGATGCGCTCCACATTTGGAGGGATGTGCGGTGGGACAGCAGTGAAGTACCGGAACGTGCAGTGCACCTCGGTGGGGACATAGCAGGCGCAGAGCCTGGGACAGGCGGTACTGCCGGGAAAGGCAGCCAGGCAGGCGGTGAGGAGGGTCCCCAGCCACCAGCACCTGCCTCCTCTTGGCGCCTTCATCCTGCAGAAGACACTATTGTACCATCCTGCGCAGCAAGAGCAGATGGGTTCCTGCAAAGAAAACAAAACACAGAAGCGTTTAGTAACACCCATGGTGAGCTGCTCAGTTTTAAGCTAAAAAAACCAAGACGACTTTGTATTTCCAGCTGTGTAATGTGCTAAAATGTTCGTCATTTAGAAGAAACAGCCTCACGCTGTCTTTGTCTTGCTGCGATGTGCCGGTGCTTACAGGTGAAGTTTTCATTTTTGAAGGAAGCAGCCGTGAAAACCGAAGCATGTGGCTATCGTTACCTCACGACTGTGCGGAGTGTTCATCGATCTGCGAGCAATATATCCTCGGGAAGGAACACGTCGGCTCCTCGCTTGCCAATAATAATTCCAAGCAAAACTGACTCATTTCAAAGCCCCCGCGGCGGGAGCGGACGCTGCGGCCACACGGCGATTCCCCAGGGCCCGGCGCCCGCCTCTACCTGCGCCAGGGCGCGGGGCCCGCCGCTGCTGGTGTACCTGGCCGCGGGGCGCCCGGGATCTGAGGCTTCGCCCCGCCGCCGCCTGCCCCTACCTGTGTGATCTCTGTGGCGGCTGCAGTGCCCGGCGGGGCCGCTACCTCGGGGCAGAGCCGCGCCGAGCGGGGCGAGTCCCGCCGTCTCCGGCTCCTCCTCCCGGGAGGTGCCGCCGCGCTGAGGGGACGCGTTTGGGGGGCCGGGGCTGTCGAAGGAGGCTCCTGCCCTGCTGTGTACCCGGAGACGGCGCGGCTTGGCGGGGGGTGGGGAGAGAGGCCCCCAGTGTGGCTCCTCGGGGGACCTGGGGCCTGGGGGTGCTGGGGCCTGCAGGTCCCCCCCGGTGACCCCCGGCCCCGCAGCCCCAGTGGGGAGTCGTGTAGGGAAAGGGGCCGGCGGCCCATTAGAACGGCTGCCGAGTGTGCCGGGGGAAGGAATCACCTTCCTTTTTGGATCAGGTCCGTCAGTGCTGCAGCACCCCAAGTTCTTTGCGCAGCAGGCGAGGTTGATGTCACTTTTCTAACGAAAGAAAGTGTTAGAAAAGATTACTAGATAGTTAACAACTGATTACCTGGCACTAATCGTTCTTGAACTGCTAAACTTCATAGCTGTATTTTAATAGAAGCTTTAATTAATGTTAAATTACTGTGTCCTTATGCAGCCAGGGTCAGAAGTTAAACATCAACCCTCTATGCGGCAGGAGATTTCTGGTATCTCCCTGACCGCACAAAGTTAACACTTAGGAACTTTGAGGAAAACTGTGGAAACAAGGCCAAATTGGATGGGGCTTTGAGCAATCTGGTCTAGTGGAAACAGTCCCTGTTCATGGCAGGGGGTGGGAACTGGATGATATTTAAGGTCCTTTCCAACCCAAACCGTTCTGTGATTCTATGATTCTACAACTGAAGGCATTTGGAGGGGTCCCGAGCAACCTCCTGCAGTGGAATGTGTCCCTGCCATGGTAGGGGTTGGCATAGGGTGGCCTTCAGAGGTCCCTTCCAACCTAGATGATTCTGTGACTCTAAATGCCTTTTCCGAGCAGTATTGGAAGGAGCCTCATAGCTTCTTACTCCTCTCTCTGTTTCTTACTCACTATTATTATCAATCAACACTGCCATGTGTACTAGGATTGCCCGTTTTTGTCCAGCACCTGCATTTTTCCCACTGAAGCCCAAATGTGCTTGGCAGTCCCTGTGTCTGGCTCTTTCCAGTTCTATATTCCTCAGAGTTCTGTTGGTGGAACATGCGGCACAGTGGCAATTGTGTTAATGTGACTGTTTGTGGTCCAACCACAAAATTCCTTCTGTCTGATGGCAAAGAGCAGCTGAATTCGGATACTTTGGGTGAGATGCACAGCTTATTTGACCCTCATCCAGGTTTACGACAGTTTCAACTGTGTCACACGTTTATGACTCTCTATGTTCCAATTTAGCAAGGAATCGCTATTGGTTCAGGAAATAAGCTCCTTAACAATGTCACACAAACCTCACATTCTTCTGCAGTAATGCTGTTTGTCTGAGATAGGGTGACTTCAGCATCACTGTGATTATATTTGATGTAGTGTCAGTCATAAATCTGTCTAGGCAATTTCTAATACTTTCTTGGTATTAGTTTGCATATTGACTGCTCTGGATTTAGACGATAAGAATACTGGCTTCAGAGTATAGGGAGAAATGAGAAGAAATTAGGGTAATGCACACAACATAAATGACCCTGGATTGTGCTTTTGGTGTGTAAGGAGGTACACAAGTCAGTGGCAACTGGCTTCATGTGAACCTTCATACAAGACTCATTTGTGCTTTGATCTGAGTATAAATTTTCAGCCAAAATGCTTTGGGGCTTTTGTGGTGTTTTTTTTTTTTTTGTTTGTTTGTTTGGGTTTTTTTTGTTGTTGTTGTTTGGGTTTTTTTCCCCTCAGGGGTGGGGGATGTTGTTCCTGAGATCTTGCTTTTTCCATAGGATTGGTATTTTTCTTGGAGAAATGTTAATTTGGACATATGTTTCAATTTTCCATCAGGAAAGCCACAGCACCTGAAGCCAGCATGGATCTGTTTACCTCTGAGCCATGGTGCCAAACAGAACCTGTAGTATGTGCACTTCTCTGCTTGTCAGCCTTGTCCTAGGACAAGCCAAATCTGATAGGCTGCTTTGGTAAAAACAGGATCCCTGTTCTTGCACACTCAAGAAAACTGATCAAGTGCTTCACACTTGTTTTTGCACACATACCAGTAATAATTCTCTGAGAATGATGTATTGAAAATAACATTTTCACTTACTCAGATGTCTTGCCTCTTGTTGCCATGAGCAGAGCACACTGTCCTATTTTGATGGTACTGCCATGTTTCGGTATGTAAACCTGTCCTGTTGTGATGGTTGTAAGAAAAATCCTGAACTCCAGCTAGTCAAGCATTTTGGAAAAACCCACCACCAGCCTGAATGCACATCAGGTAAGATCCGCATATTTGTGGTTTAAATAGGTGCACTGTGCCTGACCCGGAGTAAGTGTCTCGCCTGTTGCCACTGCCTGCTTGTCACTCCAGGCTGCCAGTCTCAGTGGGATGTTTTCTGAGGTTGTCCTCAGAGTGGATTATTTGCTAAAACACAGTGTTTTTCCAGGGGAAATAAGTAAAGGCTTTTGGCATATCTATGAGAGTCCCTTCTTTGCATGGTTTATCTAAAGCCAGAAGAGGTATTAAGTATATACAGTGGGATTAATTTATTGGGATGGCAAAATAACCCATACTAAGACTACAGGGAGATTTGAAAACACTTAATCCACAGTATGACAGGATTTTCCAGTATTGACTAAACCTCAGGAAAGGTAAAACTGTAACAGCCAGGCATTACAGATTTGAGTAGACACTGGTTGTGTTATTATTTCAGTCTGGTTAGGGTCACAATGGGTTTTCTTAAGATTAAAAATGAAAGAGATAATGAGAAGGAAAATTATATATGAAAATTATATGAATTTTTTTTTTTTTTGAGGGCATGGATATATTACTGCAGTCACTGACTTATAAATTATTCTCTATATTATTTCTTGGACTAATTTGATGACGAAACATCCTATTATGAGCTAATGCTGTGTTTTCTTTGCAAATAGAAAACCTGTGATTAGAGCAGTAATGGTAAGATAAAACTTTAAAAGATAAGATAAAGCCTAAAAATATCTTCTAAAGGTTCTAAAATTTTACAAAGTAAAAATCAAACAGATAAGGAATTGATCTAAATCCACAAACTGGCTGTGTATGCTTAGTAGTGAAGATCATGGTGATCTGTACTTAAAAGTGAACATCTTCTGAAAGTGTGAAATTTAGCACAAACTATGGGACATGCACGAAGTTGGTAATAACTTGATTTAATGTGTGCACCAGCTAAAACTTTGCTTGAGGTGTCTACTGGATAACGTTCATTATAACCTCAGCGTCTGTCTTTGTGAAACACGTATGTGGCCTTAGTTTGATTCAGTCTGGGTGTTATATTGAGTAACACTAATGTGCTTGTTCTACCTGGCCCTTTTGGTCTCAGAAAGAATAACAAAGCTTCAGCTGAGCCCTGGCACTAAATTACATGCTGACCTTTTTAGGTGCGACCCTGACAAGAAGTCGAAACTTGAGCAATCACGCTGTCCCTGGTTCTACTAAATTCTGTTCCCCTGGGAGGTGAAGAGAGGATTGCAGGCCTGTCATTAGGTATGTTTTCTAAATATTTATTACATGCTGAAGGGCAGAAGATTAATTGCTTTCATAAGTTGTTTTGTTTTTTTTTACTAGATTACTGAGGTCAAGGCTCATGGGGTGACACACAGAATCATAGAATAGTTAGGGTTGGAAAGGACCTTAGGATCATCTAGTTCCAACCCCCCTGCCATGGGCAGGGACACTTCACACTAAACCATGCCACCCAAGGCTCTGTCCAACCTAGCTTTGAACACCGCCAGGGGCGAAACATTCACAACTTTCCTGGGCAACCCATTCCAGTGCCTCACCACCTTTACAGTAAAGAATTTCTTCCTTATATCCAATCTAAACTTCCCCTGTTTGAGTTTTAACCCATTACACCTTGTCCTGTCACTACAGCCCCTAATGAAGAGTCCCTCCCCAGAATCCCTATAGGCCCCCTTCAGATACTGGAAGGCTGCTATGAGATCTCCATGCAGCCTTCTCTTCTCCAGGCTGAACATCGCCAACTTTCTCAGCCTATCTTCATACAGGAGGTGCTCCAGTCCCCTGATCATCCTCGTTGTTTCTTTGTGGGTGTAAACATGAGGTAAAAGACATTTTTTAATGATCTGTACTAGTTTCCATAACTGGTGGTAGTGAAGGGACTGAAGCTTCTGCTGAGAGTATTTTCCAAAACCACATGCTTAAAAATCTGCATTAAAATAAATAATAATAATAAAAAAATATTTAAAATGCACAAGTAGCTTGTCAAAGTTTTAAGAGAACAGTATTTATCTAGGGATATATTATGTGTGTTGTAATTAAAACCTAGCTCTTACTATGCTTCTGAGAAACAGAGTATTAAATTACAAAAAGTACTAAGTTCTCCCTCCAGAAGGCTGCTGAAGAACATGTGGAATTTTTTACATTATAATGTGGTTGTGATTTAATGGAGTAGCCTTACAGAAAATACAATGGTTATACAAACCCATGCTGATTTCTGTTTTGCTGGCAAATTCTGGCACATGTGTGATGGGAAAAGTCATTGCTTTAGATGGAACTCATTACTGTGGAGCTTTTTGTTAAGTGAAACTATATTTTGGCAAGAAAGTGTGGTTGAGCGCAAACTCAGTAGTGCTGAGAAAAGGAAAGATGATTAAAGAAAATACTCTCTAACTGGGTCTTCACAGCAAGTTACACACACTTAAGAACAGTATGGTTTTTAGCAGTTCAATTACTAATGTACAT